ATGTTTGCAGAGGCGGAAGTAAGTAAAAAAAAAGCAAAAAGAAACGAATTAAAAGTGGCTTTTAAATAATTGAACAGGGAGGAGAAGTTGAGGCCAAAGAGGAGCAAAAAGGAGTTCCCGAAATAGAGGTCTGGGTCTTTGAAATTAAAAACAAATAAAAATCTAATTTATAATAATAATGCAGATCAGCGCGGGACAGTTTGGCCAGCCGCCCAAGGTGCGTGGGGTGTACATACACTGCAGCGCTGCAGAACTGAGGAACAATAAAAGCACAAAACGGAAATCCAAATCACTTTTACTTTTCCAATGTTTTCTCTCCTCAGGTTTCTGTCAACGGAGACGAAATTGCAGTCCCCACGCTTTCCAAAACAGAAGACAAAATGAACGCAGGATCCATGGAACCCTAAACCCTAAACCCTAAACCCTTGGAATTAGGCGTCGTAGGCGGCGAGTCTGTCTTTGCGCACGCCTAAGAAGAACAGAAAAGTGCAAATTATTATAAATGATGATTTAAGCCAAAACCTCAAAAGTGCAAATTATTCTGAATGATTATTTAAAACAAAGCCGCCAAAAGGCCGAGAAGAGCTGCAGCAAAACTTCAGGTGTACGTACACTTCGTGACTTCAGGTGTACGTACACCTGAAACCACGGAGACTTACCGAAAGGGGTCATCTCTCTCTCCACTTTTGTTTTTCTCTTCTTTTCAGGAATTGCGTTTTGCTGCTGCTGCCAGTGCCTTTCCTTTTTGGGTACAAACTAGAAACATAAACAGCACATGCAGCAGCAGCAGCAGCAGCAGCAGCACAAGCAGCTGATTGCGTCCAGCGGCCGAAGGCAGTTTCTTCAGCGTCTAGTCAAGTAAATATAATTTATTACTAATTTTGAAGTCACCTTTTTATCCTAAATCATTTAATTTTAAATAGCAAATAAATACATTTTATTATTTATTTCTTAATTACCTCTTTCTCCCTAAATGGGGCCAGTTTCTTCAGCGAGACTTGCGCATTAAGTTCAGCATCTGTCCTGCAGCAAAAATAAAACAAAATAAAATAAACAAATGAGTTAAAACAATTAAAAACAGAAACTGCAATTAAATTGAAACAAAAATATCCAAAAGATAGGTTGGAAACTCAGAAAGAACATAAATTGCATTTTTGCAAAATGCCAAATTCAGAAAATGCAATGCGAAAGAAAGCAGCCAGCTATACGTACACCCGAAAACGGGTAAACCCACTTTTAATTCAAACAGAATAATTCCAAAAAAAATGTGAATCCGCAAAAATAGAAAAATGTTAAAAAAACAAAAAGGAAAGTAAGGACAAATAAACAAGGCTTATTATCGAATTTGCCCCAGAAGCAAGGGTTTAGGTTTTAGGGTTTAGGGTTTAGGGTTTGGGTACTTTTCGAGTATGTCTTCCAGAGTCATTCCGTAGTTGTTTGGCTGCACTTTTCTGTATTTGAATCGAGTTAGCAAGTCTCCTCCAATTATATCTTCATAATTTAATGCAAAGTATTCATTTATTGCTTCTTCTAAACTCTCCGGCACTGCGGGGCCCCCGGGCATTCCTTGGAAGTCTTTTGGGGGCTGTACGTACACCGCAATTCGCAGCAGCTGTCTGTACACCCGAGACTGCGCCTGCGCGGCGGAATTTGGGCTTTTTGACTTCAATTTAATTCGCATTTGTGTTATATTTCTACGGCCTACTGGCCATTCTTCTATTTTAATTATTTGGCGTTCAAAAGTGAATTTAAGTGCGGAGAGAAAAGCTGAGAACAGTCAGTGTGGCTAGAGCTGTCTGTACACCCCACGGCCGCAAGGGCAGCCCCCCTGCTCCCGCATTTTGACCATTTCGCGCGCTTTTGAGCTGCCTTTTGTTTATTTTTAATTTATTTATTGTTATTTAGCATTATTTATTATTTATTTGTTATTTATTCTGCATTTATTGGAGCCTTCTCGCATTTAAAAGCCAAAACGCACCTTGCAGTGCAGCGGCACCGTCCGCTTCAGCATCTGGTGCGGGTGGCGCACATTTCGGAAGCACAGTTTGCAAAGAGTGAAGTTTTCGCATTTGGCGCAGTCAAACCTAATTAAATAAACAAAATAATAAAAAAAAGTAAAAATTAAATAATAAATAATAAATAAATAAATAAATACTGCAAATTGGAAATCAGCAGCAATTATATATATATATATATAATTATGTACAGCAGCAGCAGCAAGTGGCGAATGCATGCACATGTGGCTGCAGAAATAAAACTTTAATAATTAAAAATGGAAAGGAGAGAAAAGAATCTTTTGAAATTAAAAAGAAATTAAATTAAAAAAGAAATTAAATTAAATGAAAGAACAAGAAATAAGCAAAAGACAAACCAGACAGATCAAAAATGCGCCTAGGGTTTAGGGTTTAGGGTTTAGGGTTTGCGGAACTCTCAGAGACAACTCTACGCCGCGGTTATCCTAGGGTTTAGGGTTTAGGGTTTAGGGATTGCTACCTCTTTTTGCCGCCGCCGATTCCCTTCCCGCAGCCATCGCACATCCACCACTCTCCCTGCAGCCCTTCTTCCTCTTGCTGCTGCTGCTGCTGCTGCTGCGTGTCCGTGTCTGCTGCTGCTGCTGCTACTGCAGCTTCCGTCTGCTCTTCGTCCCCCTCTTCGTCCCCCTCATCCTGCTGCTGCTGCTGCTGCTGCTGCTGCTGCTGGTCGTCCTCTGCGTACCCCTCGACGGCCTGCGCCTGTCTCTGTCTCCTTTTTTGCAACTTCAAAAGTCTCTTTTGCTTTTTGTTCATTGCCTCCAAATTAGTCTCTTCGGAGACAGACAGTAAGTCCGCGCAGGACTCGGGCACAGCTGCAGCAGCAGCAGCAGCAGCAGCAGCAGCAGCAGCAGTTGTGGCGGCAGCAGCAGGCGGGGAAGCGGGGGCACCAGCAGCAGGCGAAACGGCAGCAGCGCAGACGTTTGAAGCGGCAGCAGACACGGCAGCAGACACGGCAGCAGCAACAGCAGCAGCAACAGCAACAAAAGTCGCAGCAGCAGCAGCAGCAGCAGCAGCAGGAGAGGTCCTCCTCTTCGCAGCTGCTGTAAGCATCCAGGCCATATAGAAGAAGAGAAAACAGATTGAAGCAAAGAAATGCAATTAAAGAGTTTTAACAACAAAGAAAGGAAAATAAATAAATAAATAAATCGAAAAATCCCACCAAGACATTGTTTGTCTTCTGCTGCTCTTTCATAATCCTCTCCAAACAAAAGCCCCATTTCTTTGTCGTGGCTTTCGGGGTCAAAAGAGCCCTCGAGGTTCAACACCGCGCTCACAGCTGCAGCAGCAGCAGCAGCAGCAGCAGCAGTTGAAGCAGCAGCAGCTGGAGCGGCAGCGAGGCAGCCGTTCAAGAAGCAGCAGCAGCAGCAGCAACAGCAGCAGAAAAAACGGCTGCAGCAGTTTCAACGATACCAGCAGCAGCAGCAGCAGCAGCAGCAGCAGCAGCAGCAGCAGCAAGACTCACTGCCAGCATCGAGGCCTCCAATTTCCTGAATCAATTTTATCTTTTCTTTGATTTCTTCTTTCTTTATGTTTTTCAGCCGCTTCAACTCCTCCTGTCTTCTCACCTAAGCGGCAAACCCCCAAACCCTAAACCCTAAGCCCTAAACCCTAAACCCTAAACCCTCAACCGTCTCATGTTAATGCACCACTTTGCCTGCCGCAGCCCCCAAACCCTAAACCTTGAGTCCCCCATTCGTGGGTGTGTACCCCCCAATGCGTAGACCCTAAACCCTAAACCCTAAACCCTAAACCCTTGCGGTTTTCACCATTTCTTCCATTTTTTTTTCTTTCTTTTTCCGTCTCTGTTGTTTTCTTTTATCGTCAGTTTGGCGAACTGAATCTTGAATAAAACGCGGAAAAGAGCGGATTGTGTCTCCTCCCTCTTCTTCGAACCTGCAGGTCCCCAAACCCTAATTTAGGGTTTTCGGTTTTGGCTCTTTCGGTGGTTTGCTCGCCCTTTTCTCACTCTTTCCGCAATTTATTTAACACTTTTCTTTATTATTTATATTTCTTTTTAATTATATTTGATTCACTTTTAATTGTACTTATTTTTATTTCAATTTTGTTTAATTTTAATTGTATTTAATTTACTTTTAATTGTATTTCATTCATTTTCAATTCATTTAATTCACAAAAAACAGAACGACAGAAACAAAAAAGGAATTAAAAAGTAACAAATAAATAAATAAAATTAAATTAAATTAAATAAATAAAGAAACAAACAAAACAAATAAATGAATAAATGGATAAATAGACTAAATAAATAAATAAATTAATAATAAATTAAATAAGTATATAAATAAATTAAATAAAATAAATTAAAAATAAATAAAAATAAAAGACCTGAAGTTGTAGGCCGCTTCAAAAGCCTCCGCCTCTTCCATTTCTTTTTCTTCCGCTTCTTCTTCAGAGTCCCTGATTAGAAAATAAAATAATTGAATTAAATTAATTAATTTAATTAAATTAATTAAATTAAATTAAATTAAATTAATTAAATTAAACAGAATTAATTAATTGAAAATGGCAGTTCGTCGGGAATACAAGTGCGCTGCTGCCTTTGTTGGACCCAGATTGGTCTCCCTAAACCCTAAACCCTAAACCCTAAACCCTTAATCCTAAGCCCTGAACCCTAAACCCTAAATACTAGATTAAGAGACTGTCGAGCCTCAGACGGGAAGCGAGAAACAAAGCAGCATCCTGAAATCTTGGAGCTCCTAAACCCTAAACCCCAAACCCTAAACCCTAAACCCTAAACCCTCATTGAACTCGCGGCTACCTGTAAACGAATTCTTTGTTTTTGTCTTCTCTCCATTCCTCATTGAGAATGTAATTCCTCAAAAACTTTTCGTTTTCGTCCAGAGTCCCATCGTCCTCTGAGACACAAACAACACAGCTGCTGCTGCTGCTGCTGCTGCTGCTGCTGATGCTGCTGCTGTTCCTGACTGCTGCTGCTGCTGCTCTTATTGACTGTTGCTGCTGCTGCTGACGCCGGTCCTGTTTCTGCTGCTGGTTTTGCTGCCGCCGCTGCTGCAGCTGCTACTGCTAAGGGCGCTGCTGCTGCTGCTGCTGCTGCTCTCCTAGCAGCACTGCTGCTGCTGCTGCTGCTGCTGCTCTCCTAGCAGCACTGCTGCTGCTGCTGCTGCTGCACTGGTTAAACGAAATCAAAAAGCATCTGTTCTTTATTTGAGCTGTAGGTACACCTCAACTCACCCCACAATCGGGCCAAAGCAGAATCCGCAGCGCTGCCCCTTTTAGAATTCTTCTCCTAAGCACCAAACCCTAAACCCTAAACCCTAAACCCTAAACCCTAGACCCTAAACCCTACACCCTAAACCCTAAACCCTTGACCGTAAGCGCAAGGCCCTGAACTCGAAGTCGCAAGACCATGGGCATTCAGCTCAGAGTGTACTCTCGGAGGCACGAAATGCAATCTCAAGCTTTAGGGTTTAGGGTTTAGGGTTTAGGGTTTAGCGCACTTGAAGGAACTGTTTGTATTCTTCTTCTTCCCTTTGCAGATCTGTTTGCTTTTTTTCTTTAATTTTAAAGAATTCATCTTCGCCAGCATCTTCAGCTTCGGCATTTCCCTTTTCTTTGCTTCTCTTCTTTCCCTTTTTGCTGCTGCTGCTGCTGCTGCTGCTGCTGCTGTCTGCCGCCTCCCAAAACGACTTCTTAAGTGCACTCATTTCGTCTTCGTAAGAAGCACCTATAAATAAAAAACAATAAATAAATAAATAAATAAATAAATAAAACTAATAAATAAATGCCAGTGCAGTATTTAATTCTTCGATGGAAATTAAGGGCATCAGCAACAACAGCAGCAGCCACAGCAGCAGCAACAGCAGCAGCAGCAACAGCAGCAGCAACAGCAACAGCAGCAACACAAGCAGCACCACCACAGCCACGAGCACTTCAGCAGCAGCAGCAGCAACAGCAGCAACAGCACCACAAGCAGCAGCACCACAACCAATAACACCCCAGCAGCCACAGCCGCAGCAGCAACAGCAGCAGCAGCAGCAGCAGGACCATTTGTTTGTTGTTGCTGCTGCTGGATGTTTTCTTCTTCTTCTTCAAAACCCTCGGCTCCTTCTTCTTTGAGGGTTTTGAAAACGAAGTCGCTAAACCGCAAGGGTTTCTGCAGCAGCAAATTCAAACTTTTTAATTTCAAAGTTAAAACATTTATTTTTATTTATTAATTTATTTATTTATTTATTTATTTTATTATTTATTTATTTTCTTATTTTATTTTATTTTATTTATTTGTCAAGCAGCAAACGAGAAACCAAAAACGCAAAAAGGCACAAAATAAACAAACCAACAAATCAATAAAAAATAAATAAATAAAAAGCAAACAAACAAACAAATAAATAAATAATCATTTAATTGACAATTAATTAACTAATTAATTAATTAATCAATTAATTAATTAATTAATCAATTAATTAATTAGTTAATTAATTAATAATAATTAATAATGTAACAAAAGAGGCCTACGGGTTGGGGGGTTTGCGGCTGCGGCGCGGCGAAGTCCTTATCGCTAAAAAAGGGTTTGCGGGTTTCGTAAATTTGAGGGTTTTTGTTTTTGATGAAATTCAAAACCCTCAAAAACTTCTTTTCCACTTTTGGAGTCAACAAAACTGCGTCTTCGTCTTCTTCCGAACTCGACTCTTCTGCAATTAATTAACTAATTAATTAATTAATTAATTAATTCAATTAAGTAATTAATTAATTAATTTAGTTAATTAATTAATTCGATTAATTAATTAATTGAATTATTTTATTTCATTAGTTTTGTTTAATTTGGTTGGCTGCGTTGTGTTGGAATGGCTTCTGGGAGAGGGGCGGCCGAGGGTTTGGCGGGGGGAGGGAAAAGCGCTAGGGTTTAGGGTTTAGGGCTTAGGATTTAGGATTTGGGGTTTAGGGTTTGGGGTTTAGGGGTTGTTGAGCTTGAGTCGAGGGTTTAGAGCTGGGCAGAGAAGGGTCATTATTAGCATTTCTGGCCTCGCTGTTTCACAAACCACAATTTAGGGTTTAGGGTTTAGGGTTTACCGCTGAGCTCTTCGAGTTCCTCTTTGTGTTTCGCGAGAAGCTCTTTCCTTTTTCTTTGGTCATATTTCTCTGCATATCTTTTGTTAATTGTCAAACTGTCGCTTTTGTCTTCTTTATATTTCTTTTCATTTTTCCCTTTGCTGCTGCTGCTGCTGCTGCTGCTGCTTTCCCCCTCGTCGCCAGAGTCAGCAAACAAGTCCTGTGCAGCAGAGCCAGGCGGCTCTTTCTTGGGTTTACGCGCCATCTCCAAGCCCCAAACCCTAAACCCTAAACCCTAAACCCTAAACCCTAAGGAGGCCTTCTGTTGGGCAGCAAGGGACAGAAAAAGAAGAAACAAAAAGGGTTTTGAAAAGGCGGGCTCGGGGGTAGCTGGCGTTGAAGATCTTGTTTCGAGGGTTTAGGGTCTAGGGTTTAGGGTTTCGGCTAAGGGTCTAGGGTTTAGGGTTTGGCGCACTTGGGCTAGTCGCGGGGCTCAAAAAGCTGCAACAAATCTACTAAATAGTGTTTTAAAAATAAATAAATAAAATTAAAATGAAAAGAAAGTTCTGAATTTGCAAATTGGCTTCGGGGCCGGGCTGCATGTACACCCCGGAGGCCCCACAGAGTCGCCAGGCTTCTCGGGTGTCTCGCGAGACACCCGAGAGTTGCAAAAGAAGAAACAAAAATAATTAATTCATTTACTAATTCATTTTCCTTTTTTGGGTTTTCCAGCGGCCTATCCAGCACTAGACCTCTCGCATCCACCCAAACCCTAAACCCTAAACCCTAAACCCTAAACCCTAGCTCACAATGCCGCTGTCCGCAGAGAACGAACTCTATGTCCCTTGCTACTATTACATCCATTCTCAAAAAGAATCTGGAAAACATGCTACAGATGACAGCGACGACATAGACCTTTTCGGTAAGCTGCTGCTGCCGCTGCTGCTGCTGCTGCTGCTGCTGCTGCTGCTGCTGGGGTGTACGTACACGGGAGAAGTGTCTTGCTGCTGCGGCGCGTTGGGGTGAAAAGAAGGGAAGTAGGGGAAGGGAGCAGCTGCATGCGTTTGGAATGATTTAAATTGCATTTAAACACTTTTAAATTGTTTTTAAAAAGTTTAAAAAGATTAAAATTGCATTTAAACACTTTTGAAAGATTTCGAAAAAAAATTCCAACTGCTTCCCTCGCGCGGTGTACGTACAACCCGCAGGCGACGACGCGGAGGACTCTGCTGCTGCGCTGAAGCAGCTGTCAGCAGCAAAGCAGCAGCAGCAGCAGCAGCAGCGGAAGCAGAAGCAGCCCGTGGTGAACAAATCCATGTTGGTGATTGAAGTGAAGCCAAATGATGCAGAAACGGATTTAAATGAAATTGGAAATGAAATAAAACAAATTCAAATTGAAGGTCTCACTTGGGGAGAAAACCAAAAGAAAGTGCCCCTCGCCTTCGGCCTCTACAAACTCCAGGTCAAACCCTAAACCCTAAACCCTAAACCCTAGCGCCTCGCCAAGGGGCTTCAAACCCTAAACCCTAATGTCGGAGCCCCAAACCCTAAACCCCAAGTTAGCCAAACGCTGGAATTCTTCGCGTCAATGGGTAGACTCTTCAGCACAAACTCTAAACCCTTGAATTGGACCAGCAAACCGCGAATTAGGGTTTAGGGTTTGGGGTTTAGGGTTTATGGCGAGTCGGCAGCGAAATGAGAAAAAATAAGGAAAATAAACGTGAAACAGATTTTGAAATAATTAAATTCAAAGATGAATTTAAATTCAAAAATTCAAATTCAAATTTGAAGTAAATCTTTTAAATCAAATTGAAAATTAAATTTGAAGGAGTAATTGGTACTCACGCAAATGGCATTTTGCTTAATTGAGTCTTCTTAACTTTTTAATTTTTTGAATTTTTGAATTTACTTTTCTTGAATTAAATGTTTTATTCAAATGTTTCTTTTTAAAATTATTTTTGTTTTATTAGTACTTTAAATTGGCACTTTCGTTCATTTGATTTCTTCAAAGTTGACTTTTTTCTGAAATGGCATTTGAATGCAATTCGATTTCTTGAATTCTTTTCCTTGAATTAATTTAATTCTTTTTCCATTTATTTAATTTGAGTTAAATTTTTGCAAATGAACGCATTTAAATTAAATTGGCTTTTATGAATTTTCTCGAATTTGTTATTTTCTGAATTTGAATTTCTCGTCAGGTTGGTTTTGTTTTTTGTCTTAGCGAATTAAATATCTGTTTTTTTATTTTAATTTCCTCTTAATTAATTAATTTATTTTATTCAATCGAATTGAATTTAATTTAATTTAATTTCAGAAAATGTTTTTAAAATTGCTTTCCTCTTTAGCTGTGAACTTTTGGCTTTCTGAACGAATCCCCCGGTGAATTTCAGCTTCTTGAATTTTTTGCATTTCTTTCAGAAATCTTTTTAAAAATATTTTTTTAAAGTTCTTTTTAGTTGAATTAAATCTTATTTGACTTACTTAAATCACATTTGAATCATTTAAATCAAAAAACAAGGAAATCAGTTCAATTTACATCATTTCGAAAATTCAGAAGCATCTATCCCAGTTGAATTTGTAAAGTTGAACATAACCCCTCTAAAGGAATCCATTTTTTTGAATTTAAAGATATTTATTTCTTCTGAAGAATTATTTTTATAATTAATTTAAAAAGAAATGTTTAAAATTAAATTAATTTAAAAGAAATGTTTCAAACTAAATCCCAAGGGGATTTCAAGAGAGTTTCCGCGCAGATCCTCTTGCATGCGTTTCGTAATTTCTTCGTTTCGCCACCAAAAAGGTTGAGCGTCATTTTTCGCGCATTTTCGGGAAATAAATAAAGAAAAGCAATTTAAATTGAATTAAAATGGAATTCGAGTGAAACTGGGGCAAAATCCGGTCTAAATCTTGCGAGTTGAGCGGAACTTGAATGTTTTTTGAATTTTCGCAACTGCGCAGGTGCAGTGCGTCATAGTGGACGATCTCGTGAACACAGACACTGTGATAGAGCGCATTGAAGAAATTGGACTTTCGGAAGAAAACAAAATCAAAAAAAGAAAACTTTTGGAAGAAAACGAAAACGACTCCGAAGACGAAGACGAACTCCACGGCCTCGTCCAGTCCGCCCAGATCGTCTCCTTCAACAAACTCTAAACGCCCTACGCCACCTGGCTAGCCAGCTAGCTAGCTAGCTACTAGCTAGCTAGCTAGCTGGCTATTAGCTAGCTGGCTGGCTAGCTAGCTAGCTAGTTGGGTGGCTAGCGAAACAGGGAGGCGAGAAGGCGGGGGAGCTAGTTGGGGGCTGGGCTGGAGGGGCTCGGGGTGGCGGGCTAGCTAGCTAGCTAGCTAGCTAGCTAGCTAGCTGGCTAGCTAGCTAGCTAGTAAGCCAGCTAACTAACTAGCTGGTTAGCTAGCTAGCTCGTTGGCTAGCTAGCTAGCTAGTTGTTTTGAGGTGTATGGACAGCTGGAGGCCGTGCGCTTCCTTTTAATTTGAATTCGAAGTCAAATCATTTCTGTTGCCTTTTGGGATTTTCCTGTTTGGCCTTTTTGTCTTCCTCAGAAGCCAACGGCTGGGCAGCTAGCTAGATGAAGAACTCCGTACTAGCTAGCTAGCTAGGTCTAGCTAGCTAGCTAGCTAGAGCTAGCTAGCTAAGTGGCCAGCTAGCTAGCTGGCTAGCCACCCAGCTAACTACCCACCTAAATACCCAGCTAGCTATCTAGCTTAATGCTAGCTGGTTGGCTGCCTGGCTAGCTAGCTAGCTAGCCACCCGGCTAGCTGTAGGATGAGCAAACGCAGCAATGTATTTATTTGTCCTTTGGTTTCGAAGAAAAAGAAATAAAGAAGAAATAAAATGAAGAAAAAGAAATAAAGAAAAAGAAACAAAACGAATAAGGAAAAGGAAGTAAATGAAAACAAATAGATAAAGAGAAATAAAAAAAGAAATAAATAAAAAGAAATTAAAATATAATTCTTTAGAGTTCGTCAAGGTCCAAAGAAATCTCCTCCTCGACGCGCCTCACCAAGGGGGGCCCCTTGGGAAGAATGCGGGGCTCTTCAGCTGCAGCACAAAACCACAAACAAGGGTTTAGGGTTTAGGGTTTAGGGTTTAGGGCTTGGGTGGGTGGCTGCATGGGTGGGGGCTCGGCAGCTACAGTTCGGCGGTTTGCTGCTTGCTGCGGCGAGTCCGCCGTTTCAGGGTTTAGGGTCTAGGGTTTAGGGTTTAGGGCTTAGGGTTTACGGTTGTCTGCGAAGGGGTCTTTGTCTTGTGCTCCAATTATGTTAAGAATGACTTTTCTTTGTTTTGCAAAATCCTGAAAAGGAGGATCTGTCCAGTGGGGCCACGGAAATTCATTTAATTCATTTAAATCATTGAATTCATTTGAATCATTTAATTCATTTAATTCATTTGTTTTGTTTAATTCGTTTGTTTTATTTAATTCACGTAATTCATTTAATTCATTTGCTGTATTTAATTCATTTGTTTTATTTAATTCATTTATTTTACTTATTTGATTTGTTTTGTCTTCTTCTCTGGGGTTTTCTTCGTTTTTATTAATTTCGTTTTTTTCATTTTTGTTTTTCTTTGTTTCTTCTCTATCTTCCAGATTTGTTTCTTTTGCGTCTTTATATGTTTTTGTAGTTATTTGATTTATTTCTTCTTTCATGTCTCGCTTTATTTCTTTTATTTCTCCTTTTGCTTCTTCTTTTATTTCTTCTTTTGTTTCTTCTTTTGTTTCTTTTGTTTTATTTTTTTCATTTTCATTTTTTGTTTTCTCTTTTTTCTCTCCAAACATTTCCCGCAACTTCCGCAAAACGGCCAGACGGTCTTCCTCTGAAGGGCAGCTGCAGCAGCAGCAGCAGCAGCAGCAACAGCAGCAGCAGCAACAGCAGCAGCACCAGCAAGTTCTTTCCTCTGTTTATTGTCTGTTTACCATTTAATTTAGTTTTATTCATTTGGAAATAAAATTGAAATCAAGGACACCCGGTCACATGCATTTGACTGTACGTACACCGCGAGAATGAGAAATAGCTGCTCGAAAACTTTTCGAAATCTTTGCAAAAAGTTTGAAATAAATTTCCAATTTCTTTTCTAATGCATGCAAAGATGTGCACATTTGCAAAAATCTTTCTGCAAGAGAATTTGAGACAAAAAAGAATTTAAAATTAAAATCGAATTTAAAAATAAAAAACAAAAATGAACTATCCACATGCAGCAGCAAAAAAACACAACAGTCTTTCTGGAAAGACGAAATAGTCAAAAAGAAGCAATAAAACAATTGTTGAATCTTTTCAAAAAACAGAATTCATAATATTTAAATTTATTATGTTTTGCATTTCAAGAAGATAAAAGAAGACTTTCGAAAAAGGGTGAAACTGGGGTGTCTGCACACCGCAATTTCACAAGAGTCAAAACGCAAATTTTCGGAATGGGAGTCGAAAATTGGCAAATATATAAAAGGAAAACAAATATAAATATTTATATTCTATTTTTAATTATATTCTATATTTATTGAACAATTAAGACTTTCCAAACTCCAAAATGCAAACACAAGAGAACAAACAGCAGCCGCGGGCGCATGCGCCGAAACAGTTTCTTGCGGCCACGCAGCAACTAAGAGAAATACGAATTGAACTAAAAATAGATAATTTGAAATGAAGTTTAAATTTAATTTAATTTAAAATTAAAATTAAATTAAATTGAATTAAATTGAATTGAAACTCCTTTCACTTACACTACGGAGTTGCTGCAGCGCTGCGCAGACAGCGGAATGCGATTCTGGTTGGCGCGGAGGATCGCGAGCCACTCGAGGTCAAATCTGAATTAAATAAAATAAAATGAAATTAAATGAAATTAAATTAAATTAAATTAAAAATTAAATTAAAAATAAGACAAACAAAAGAATTAAACAAAGAAATGCGTGCAATAAACCCCACACGAAAAGAGATAATAGAACGCGCAGCAATAGCAGCGCAGTAACTGCCCCACAAACTGTTCAGCTTGCTCTCTACCCTAAGCCCTAAACCCTAAACCCTAAACCCTAGCCCTAATCCCTTCACCCTGACCCCTTGACCATAAACCGCGAGCCGCAAACCCTAAACCCTAAGCCCTAAACCCGAAACCCCAGCCCTAACCCCTGGACCAGAAAATGAAGCACCAGCCCTAAACCCTAAACCCTAAACCCTAAACCCCAAACCCCAAACCCCACCCGTAACCCCTGGACCCGAAAGCATAAAGCACCAGCCCTAACGCCTGGACCCTAAACTCTAAACCCTAAACACTAAACCGTGGACCACACGCCATAAACCACCAGCCCTGAAGCCTAAACCCTAAACCCTAAACCCTAAACCCTAATGTGGAGACTCACTCGACTGTGAGGGTTTGCTGAATGTTGGTTTGGGGCGAAGGCCTTTTGAGGTACTTGTTGGGGACTTTGGGGTGTATGTCCACCACCTGGAGGCAGCTTCTTCCGGGAAGCACTTTGTCAAGTGCCAGAAAATTAGTTTGCAGATTTTTGTCGTGGAAATAAATGGCGGGAAAGAAAACGTGGAGATGTCCCGAAAACCAGAAGCTCCTGCGGTGTGTCGGCAGACACACGAAGAGTTGGGGTGTCTGTACACCCCAGCTGTCCTGCGCACTTGAATTCAAGATTTTGTTTTTCGTCTTCGCAGCGGAGTTCAGTTCTGGGTTTCTTTTATTTCATTTATTTGCATCAAACAGCTTTTTATTTTCAAAAAGAAAGAAAAAGAAACGAAAAAAAGAAAAAAGACGAAGTTTGAAAACGGGCGATGCATGCGCTCGGGTGTACGTACGGCTTCATGCTCTTCAGCAACGCCATCGAAGGAGGACTTCCCAAACATTTATTATTTATATCATTTTTAAATAAAGGTTTTCTCTTCAACAAACTTTGCTTGTCTCCGTACTCGTATATGCCCTCCGGCCAGTCGTGGCTCAGCATTATGTCCACGTGGCCCTCAATCTGCACAAACCCTAAACCCTAAACCCTAAACCCTAAACCCTAAATTCCAACCCTAGACCCTAAACCCTTAACCCTGAACCCAAACCCCAAACCCTAATCTCTACACGTCAAATGCCCTGAACCCTAAACGCAAACCCCAAACCCCAACCCCCAATCCCTAAACCCCCAAACCCTAAACCCCAAACCCTAAACCCTAAACCCTAGGTTGACAGCCGGTGTCTGCTGCTGCAGCGGCTGCAGCGTGTGTGCGTGGCGCGCAAAACCCTAGGCCTTCAGAAATGCAAAAAATGAATTTTTATTTTTTGAAAAATCATTTTCAGTTTTCGCAGTTTTCAGGTGTACGTACACAGTGCAGCTTCAGCAACTCAAACTCCCGCACGTGGTAAGCGCTGCGACTAGTGCTTTCGTTGTAGGGAGGTTTTTCAAAGTGGCCTGAAACAACAAACCCTAAACCCTAAACCCTAAACCCTAAACCCTGAACCACTGGCCTCAGCAGCGAACCCCAAACCCTAAACCCTCCGCCCAAAAGCCGCCACCCCAGCTGCCCAAAAACCCGAGAGCCGGAGCCTCCAAACACCCCAACCCCCAAACCCTAAACCCTAGACCCTAAACCCTAAACCCTAAACCCTGACCGAGATGGTAGTGCCGTTTGTCGTAAATGCCGGAGAGGCCCGCAATGCGAATTCCGCCAACATTAACAACTCCCGAATATCCCAAAAAGAAAATGTTCGGCGCCAGCCATCCTCCGTAGTAGCTGTACATACACCCCAAGCTGTACGTACACCCCAAGCTGTACGTACACCCCAAGCTGTACAAGCTGTACATACACCCCAAGCTGTACATACACCCCAAGCTGTACATACACCCCAAGCTGTACATACACCCCAAGCTGTACAGACACCCCAAGCTGTACATACACCCCAAGCTGTACAGACACCCCAAGCTCCCAGCAACACTGCAGCAGCAACACTGCCGCAGCAGCAGCAGCAGCAGCAGCAGCAGCAGCAGGCGCACAGCTGCCTGAGGACGTTGGGGGCCTCGTGGTTGCCGCCGACGAGGAGAGTGAGGCGGGGGGCCCTTTTGAGGCCGCGGAAGTAAAGGTGGAAGTCTTTGAGTTTTTTGTACTTGGGGGGCGCGTGGAAGTACTGCAGGTCCGCCTCGGACCGCAGGCTCTGCAAAAGCGCCAAAAGTTGCTCTTTTCGAGTTCTAAAAGCTCCAAAACAACAAAGACAATCCAAAGAAACACTAAACAGTTCCAAAACCGCAAAAAATGGGCCTCAAACTGCTCCAGGGGCCCCTACGGGGGCCCCACAGCTGCCAGGGGCCCCGCGGGGGCCCCACCGGCTCCGGGGGCCCCCAAGGGGGCCCCTACGGGGCCTCTTAGGGGGCCCCAGGGGTACTGGGGGGCCCAGGGGTACTAGGGGCCCCCAAGGGGGCCCCTACAGGGGCCCCAAAAGGGGCTCCAGGGGTATTAGGGGCCCCTTAAGGGGCCTCCAGCAGGGGCCCCAGGGGTACTAGGGACCCCAGGAGTACTGGGGGCCCCCCAGGGGCCCCCAAAAGGGGCCCCGGAGCTATTAAAGTCTTAGAAGGAAATGGAAAAAGAAAAAAAAAGAAATAAATAAGCCAGTCTTTGGGCGCATGCATGTGTTTGAAATCTTTTGAATTGTTTTTCGATCATGTAGATATATCTTGGAGTTTTTAATGGCATTTGAATGACCTTTAACTGGCATTTAAATGGCATTTAAACTGCATATAAATGGCACTTAAATGGCGTTCAAAATGGCATTTAAATGGCACTTAAATGGCATTTAAATGGCATTTAAATGGCATTAATATTCCATTTAAAGGGCATTAAAATGGCATTTAAATGGCATCAAAAAAAGTTTAAAACTGAACTGGAATTCGAAAGTGAATTACAAATTGAATTAGAACTACGGACTGAAGTGGAAGTTGAATTTAAATTCGAATTTAAATTTAAATATAAATTCAAAATTAAAATAGTTTTATTTTGAATTTATATTTAGAATTAAATTTAAATTTAAATTGGAATTTGAATTCGAATTTAAATTAAACATTTTTAACTTCACCTGAAAGTCTCCGCAGCAAATCAAAAGATCCACTTTTATGTTTTCTTTTTCTTCGAGCTGCTGCAGCATCTCATAAAGCGCGTCCAGCTCGCCGTGGCAGCAGCCGTTTATGGCCACCTGCGCAGCAGCAACGCCCCACACTGCTGCTGCTGCTGCTGCTGCTGCTGCTGCTGCTGGTGCAGGTGGAAGTTGCTTTGGTTCTCTGCGGAAGTAGGGGTTTGTTGTTTTGTTTTCTTTTTTCCTTTCCGTTTTTGCTTTTAAGCTTTTGTGATTTTTAATTCAAAACTAGCAATGCAGAATTGCAGAAACACAAGACAAGAAGAAAAACGAAAGAGAAAGCAGGGCCACTCTCGCGTCGCCAAACAAACAAAACCCCAAACCCTAAACCCTAAACCCTAAACCCTAGACCCTAAACCCTAAACCCTAGGGAAGCGTTGGCGGCTGGGGGTGCACCATTCCTCACCTTCATTTTCTCTGGGAGGAACCCAGAAGATCCTAAATCTTTCTTTTCTGATTAATTTAATTGAAATTCCGCATTTTAATAAATCAGAAAAAGATTCGGGAGAAACTGCTGGTCATCTGCTGGACCTCATCTACGCGGTGCGATCGGCAGTGGAAACTGAAGCTTCAGAGGGGAAACCGGCCAGAAAATCGGCTCTCAAGCATGCTTTTCTGCAAATTAAGAACCTAAAAGTTTGATAAAAAGAAAAAAATGCTAAATATAAATGGAGAAAACCTCTAAAAGACTCCAGAATTCAAGTCTTAGGTTTCCGGTCAGCGAGGCGCAAGTGTACATACACCTCGGACCAGATCTACCCGTACGCCAAAAAACAAGAAAGATAAAAAGTTTTAAATAAATTAATTGCAATTTAGTTTTATTAATCGTAAACAAATCTTTCTAGCCACCAGCTTCTCCTTTTCGCTAGGGGGCCCCCCAGTGGGGCTTTCCGGGCTGCTCTTGAGTTCGAGTTGTTGCAATTGGCATTTTTTGTTCCACTTGAATAAACAGGATTAAAAATTATATTTTAATCTTAAATTTCAAATTTAAAATAATCAATTCTTATTTAACAATTCAATAATCATCCCGGCACCCACAGTTTCTCTTTTTTCTTTCACTTTTGTTGAATTTGATTTTCTTTTGTGTCGGCTGTCGACCGCAGCGCCGAAACTCCAAAAAGGTTAGCAAAGGAGCCAAAAAAAAAGCTTTTATTTTAAGTTTATTTCTTTCAATTAAATTTATTTTATATTTGTCTTTATTCCCCCCAAGTGGCAAAAGAAAGCCACAAGAAACGCAACAGCCTGGCTAGGCGATACCAGCAGCCACAACGAGCTCCAGCTAGCTACAGATAGGCTATTTTTAGCTGCAGCTAGCTACCGCTGGCTACAGCTAGCTACGACTAGCTACGCTTAGCTATAGCTAGCTACAGCTAGCTACGACTAGCTACAGCTGGCTATAGCTAGCCGCAGCTAGCTACAGCTGGCTACAGCGAGCTACAGCTAGCTAAGACTAGCTACAGCTTATCACAGCTAGCTAAGACTAGCTACAGCTAGCTACAGCTGGCTGCAGCCAGGTACGGCTAGCTACAGCTAGCCACAGCTAGCTACAGCTAGCTGCTGCTAAAGAAGCAGCTGTTTGCCCGCTCCGCAAGGAGTTGAGACTGGCAGAAGATAGCTGCAGCTAGCCACCTCTAGCTAGCTGCAGCTAGCCACAGCTAGCTGCAGCAGCTGCGCCCAGCTAGCTGTGGCTAGCCACACGTCTCCTTTCAGTCAGAAAAGGCCTTAGCCACTTTAGGAATCTGTTTTCTTTCAAATGAAATTAAAGAAGTTAAGCAAAAAAGAATTGCTCAAGTTTTATTACTTAAATTAATTGCTTCTTGAAATGACATTAGAGCTGCAGAAATAAGTCCTCTGCAGTAGTAGCAGCAGCAGGAGCAGCAGCAGCAGCAGCAGCAGATTTGGCGCTGCTGCTGGCGACTTCATTGCATAAGTTCTCTTTTTAAAATAGAAATAAAAGCAGGTAAATGCTTTCCCTCGGAACTTGACTTGTAGTTTAAAACCTAGAGTTTAGGGTTTAGGGTTTAGGGTCTAGGGTTTAGCGTTTTCCGAGTTTAGAAAAACGGGATTTTTAATTTTCTCTTTTAAAGACAGGAGAAAAAAGAATCTTTTTTAGTTTTTAAAATGAATATTTAAATGTCTTTTTTTCAAATTAAATTTTATTTTAGAAAAAATTGTTTTTCAAATTGCAATTTCAGAAAAGGCTCTTCGAGGCCTCCAGCCTGGGGTGGCGAAAGGAAAGTCCTTAAAAGCCTTTCCTCTCTTTTTAATTTATTTATTTATTTATTTTTGTATTTTATTTTAATTTAATTTTTATTTAATCAAATTAAATATTTAAATTAAATAAATAAAGGGAAAAAGTTAAAAGAAATGCTTTTGCGAGGCAGCAGCAGCAGCAGATCCACTTTTAATTGGATTCATTTTTCGCGAAATTCAGAAAAATAAAAAATGTAATTAAATTAATTAATTAAATTAAAAATAAAAATAGGTGTAGTTTAATCTCGAGTAGACTTCTTTCATCTTTGTTTATTTTCATTTCGAAATAAAAATGAAGTTTCATATCATGTTGAAAAAAAAGGGGAATCAAAGACTTACCAATTTTCAAACTTATTGTCTTGACTTGGAATTTCAAAAAGACTAAAATTTAATTATCTTACTTTAAACCCTAAACTCTAAACCCTAAACCCTAAACCCTAAACCCTTGAATTGTTCAGTCTTGGGATTCGAAGCCTCAGGCTCCTCTACTTATGCAGGACTCGCTGGCGCAAAACCCTTAAACCTAAGCTTTCTGGTTTAGATCCTAAACCCTAAAATCCTAAACCCTAAACCCTAAACCCTAACTACACCCTAGACCCCAAACCCCGACTAAACCCTAAACCCTAAACCCTAAACTAGGCGCTAAAATCAAAAGCCAGGAGAAAAAAATTAAAAGTGAATAATTGAAACCTTAACTATGTTACACACTAAACTTAAAATAAAATAAAGTAAAACTAATTTTGTTTTTTCTTTTGAGAGAAGAAAAGCCTGACGCGTCAAACTGCAAAAAAGGGAAATGTCTTTTTCATTTTCTTTGTTGAAGACAAAAAGATAAAACCCTTTCAGGCAAATATAAATAGCTGTAAGATTATATATATGTATAGGGAGACGCTCTCCCCTGCACGCTAAAGCGGAAAGCGCCAAACCCCAAACCCTAAACCCTAAACCCTAAACCCTAAACTGTGTTTCAGTCAACTTGAAAGCCCTCGCTGCGCAGGCACTGTTTGTGGGCCTCTATGAAGGCTTTGCACTTTTCCTCTCCGTTCAAAACGATGCATTCATCTCTGGCTGCTTTGGTTTCCTTGCAGACGCAGCAAATGCCTTTGCCCGCGGCGTTTCGCTGCACCGGGCACTTCGAGCTGGAACTTGAAGAAAAATTCGAAGAAGACTCTTTAAAAGGACAAGAAGAAGAGGCAGAAGAGGAATTTGACGCAGTTTCCTCCTTTCCCGCGCGAGACGCAGACGAAGTTGAACCCCCCATTGCAGCTTCGGTTTTGAACTGCAGCAGAGAAGGCAAATGAGCTCCTCTGGAGTAAATGACCGACACAACCGCGCGAAATATCAATTAATTCATGAATAGAGTCTCAAATCCAAAAAAAAATAATGCTTCCCTCGGAAAGGAGCAGAGAAACAGCGAAGCAATTGCGGTGTATGGACAGCTTGCGCGTGGCGAACTCGAGCGAGGGAAAACCGTCAGAATGGAGCGAAGAAAAGCAATTCCACTTTTCCAATTCTTTAAAAACAAATAATTTAAAAGAATAACGCTTGCAGAGAACCCTGTCTCCCGTTTGATCCGCCGCCGCCGAGCAAAACCCAGCGAAAGACCCTGCTGCTGCTGCTGCTGCTGCAGAAAAGAAGCGGAAAGCGCAGCAACATGAATTAAACTCGGAACAGAAATATTCTTTTTGCAATTTTTATTCAACAGAAAACATCTGCAGCCGATTTGGACCCTCGGTGCAGCTTCTTCCGGAATTTGCAAGTGGGGGGCCCCTGTAGTTCCTGAAATGGTTTTGGGGCCCCCCGCAAGCGCGTTGGCTGCGAGCCTTCGCGGAGGCTGAGTTATTTTGATTAAATTAATTAATTAACTAATTTATTTATTGTTAGTGTTTGTTTTTTATTTGTTGTTCACAGTTTCGATTAAAATGATCTCCTCCGCCCTCAAATTCCACTTCAGCTTTCCCTCCACTGCAGCTTCGCCTTGGGCCATTCTTTTGCCTCCTCCGGCCTTCAGTGCTTCTTCATAACTCCAAACTTTTATTTACTTTCAATTTTGAACTTCAAAAATTCTTCAACTCCAATTTATTCCAACAAAGCCTCCCCTCCCTCCGCCCCACCATGAAAGACCGCAAAGCCTTCCAGCCCAGTACCCACCGGGGAGCCCCCAAGGGGGCCCCCCAGGGGGCCCCCTTGGGGGCCTCCCAGGGGGGCCCCCCTGGGGGCCCCCAGGGGGCCCCCAAGAAGCCCTCTGCAGCAAAAGGCGAATTGAGGAAGAAGCGGCGAGTGTGGGTACAGCCGAAAGATAAGAGTCTGGGGCGGAAGCATTTTTTGCAAGTGCGGGACAGCAGAGCTCGGAGTGTTTTTGAAAAGTTGCAAAAGAAAGAAAAAGAAAAAGAATTAGCGGAAAAAGAATTGAAAGAAGAATTAAAAGAAAAAGAATTAAATCCAAAAGAATTAAATGCGAAGGAAAAGGGAAGGGCAGCTCTAATGGCCCCCGTGGCCTCCGCAAGCGACAATGACGCCTTTCTGGAACAACTCATGAATCCCTTCGCTAAGCCCAAGCAGCAGCAGCAGCGGCAGCAGCAGCAGCAGGAAGCAGCAGCAGCGAGTGCAGCGGGGAATAAATTCACAGACAAAGGCAAAAGGGGAGGAAAAAACGAGCAAAACAGGGACGCAGCAGCAGCAGCAGCAGCGGCAGCGGATCAGGCTGCTGCAGCACCGACTGCTGCTGCTGCTGCTGCTGATGCTGGAAAGTCTTCGCTGAAAGACAAAAAGGGATATATGCCGTTTTTGAAAGCTCAGAGAGAATTTGAAATGAAGCAAAAGGCAAAAGAAGAAGAAAGACTGGCAAGGCTGGCAGAAGCTGAGAAGGAAAGAAAAAGAAAAAACGAAAAACGAAAACTAAACAAAATTACTCACCGGAAGCTGCAGGCGAGGACTAAGAAGGGCCAAATTGTCATGGGGAATGTAGTTGAAGTTCTGCTGCAGAAAATGCACAGAAATGCGCAGAAAAAATAATAATGCACAAGAATGTTTTAAAATTACAAATGATGCTCAGAAATGTTTTTAAAACCACAAATGATGCAAAAAGTGCGCGAAAATGTAACAAATAAGTGAAGTGAACATTCAGAAACAATGCAGCGCGCCGCTAGCGCTGAGGTGTATCTCCACCTGAAGCATTTTGCAAATTCAACTTTCGTTTTTGTCGTAAGACGTTTTGCGTGGATCAAAAATTGCAAAAACAAATACAGTTTATATTTAAACAATTTTAAATGCAATTTGTATTCCAAGTTTCAAAGGAATAGATTCTAAATCGGAGTTTGTCTCAATTTGCATTTTGCTCACCGAGTGGTTCATTCCAGCTCCACATTTCTTAGTGCAGCAGATCAGCTGGTGGAATTTGAAGAAGAGGAAATAAAAACAAAAGCAATAAATGCAAATTATAAATGACACAGAACAATAAAAGCTGCAGCTGAATTGAATGTTTTATTTTCAAGTTTTTGCAAATTCAAATTGCAGGAATAAAGTGAATGAACTAATCATTCAATTTGAATATCCTCTCTTCCCGTGGAAGCGTGGCTCCGGGACTTCGCAGCTTTTGCCTTATTTTAAAATTTGAAATTTTGTTTTTTGTTTTTTAAATTAAAAAAGTTTATTTTGGATTTTATTTGAAGTCCAGACAGCAGCAAACAGAGAAGCAGCAGCACATGCGAGGCTGAGTTGCTTTCAGCGCATGCAGCCTTTCTTGAATATTTCTCATTTTCATTTTTCTACTTTTATTTTATTTATTTATCTATTTATATAAATATTTATTTTCTTTATTTATTGCTGCTGTAAAAATCAGCCTTTTTCTCTTTTCACGAAATAGATAATTTTTTCTTCTTATCAAATTAAAAACTGAAACAAAATAGTGAAATTTTTAATAATAATGCATTTTTAAAATAGCTTTTTTGAAAAGTCATTTAATGCCATTTTTGCATGCATTCTGTTGCAGCTGGGAAATCTGTTTTCGCGCCTTTGCAACTTTTGTTGAATACAAATATAATACATTTAACTGACAATTTAAATCCAATTTTCGAATTAAAATGAAAATTGAAATTCAACTTGCAAATTAAAACTTTCTCTTGCAAAAATTGAGACCAAGAGGCCACTGACACTCCGTCTGAAGAGCCTTTGGCGTCGCTGTTTCGAATTCACTTGACCAGCAGCAGCAGCAGCAGCAGCAAATGCAGCAGCAGCAGCAACAGTACCAGTAGCAGCAACAAGAAGAAATCTAACAGCGAAACGAGGGTATACAGGGTCTTAAAATCTGCAGTTTAAAAATGCTTCCTGCGACTCTTTGCATCTTCTCTTAAATTGAATTTATCCTTATTAAAGTTGTAACTAAATTTCAAAAAATATAAAAAAGTGGAATAAAACAATTAAACCCTTTATCTTCTTTTACTTGTACCTTTTAGGCGTTGCAGCTGCACAGGACCTCTGGCTGCTGCTCTTCAGCCAAGGAAAATGGAACAAGCAGCAGCAGCAGCAGCAGCAGCAGCAGCAGCAGCAGTAGCAATAGTATCATGCTGAAGTCAAAATTTAGTAGAAGCAGTTTTGTGATAAATCACTTTTCTTGAAATTTTTTCCCGGTAGTGAAACAGCAACACCAGAAAACAGTTTTCTGGAAAGTGATTTTTAATTTGAAATAAAACAATTTTCTGAAAAGTGAATTTTAAACTTGAAATTCGGAAAAAGAGAATTGATTGAAAGAACTGAACACTTCTCTGGCAGCAAAAGAGCAGCAAATAGCAAAAAAAGAATTAATTCAAAATTTTGAATTAAATTAAAATTAAGTTAAATTAAAATTATTCAATTTATCAAAAAGGAAACACGAAAACAGTTTTTGCAGGACCTCCAGCTCCCGTGGCTCAGTTGGTTAGAGCGTTGGTCTTATGAACCGAAGGTCAGGGGTTCGAGCCCCCTCGGGAGCACTTCCGTGTTCTGTACTTTTGTTTTTTTTTCATTTTGTTTGGTCTTTCGCTTCAATTAAACGCCTTCTAAAGAATTAAATTCATTAAAGAACGCAAGAAATGATCAGGAAAGTGCTGCTTTGCGTTCAGTGGCATTGTGTCCAACTGGCATAGGGGCTTAGGAGAAGCCATAAAAACTGAAACTTGAAGAAATAATTATGCAAAATTAGTTTAAATTGCGTTTCTGGTGTATGTGCAACTCAACGAGTCCGCTGGACAGCAGTTGCTACTTCGTCACTATAATCAATCTGCTGCGCAGATCGACCGCAGGGCTCTGACAGGTTTCTGCTGCTTTATTGCCTTCAATCTTAATCAGAAAGACCTCAGAAAGACCAGAAATAGCGCAATTATAAGATTTCTGTTGTTATTTTTTTAAAGTTGATTTTCGCAGTCGTAGCTGGGAAAAGGAATCGGCTGCGGAAGCCTCGGGAAGCCCTGGGGGTTGCATGCGCGTGGGGCCCTGGCTGCTGATTGCAAATGCGGCGGCGCACAAATGAGCAACTTGAATAAAAAGGAATTTAATTAATGGAATAAAGCGCAGAAAATGAAGGAAGATCGCCCTTTGGGCCTGCGTTCCGGCGCGGAGTTCGCGGCGGCGGTGCGGGAGCTGGTGAACAAGTGCCGCGAGAGCACAAGTCCGAAAGAACTGCTAGAAAGCTGCGAAAGTCTGTTTCGTCTGCTGCGGGACAAAAAAATAGAACTGGAAGTGCCTTATATTCCTTCAGATCTGCTGCAGCAGCAGCAGCAGCAGGAAAGCAAGCCGGGGTTCACCCAGTGGCTGCAGCAGTCATTTCACGTTTTCGTGTCCATTGTGTTCGAGCTGCTCGAATCCAGCGAAGCTCCCCTCCAAAAGTTGGGACTTTCTTATTTATTTCGAATTTTAAAACACGAATCTGAAGTTCACAAGTCTTCAACTTTCCCTCTTGCTGCTTTTCAAGTTTTCGCCTCCCGCCTGCTGCAGGCCAACGCCTTCCCCGGCTACTTGCAGGACTTGCTGCTGAAGGAATATCTCCACAAGTACCTGGACGTTCGCTACTACATGCTCGTGGTCATTTTGAAGATCCTCAGGGAGTTTGTTGCGGAAAAGAACCAGCAGCACAACGCAGCAGCAGCAGCAGCAGCAGAGGGGGGGCAGCACGAAGCAGCAGGCAACGAGTGGTTCAGGTGGAAGAGGGGAGAGCGGGACCTCAGCAGCAGACTGACTTCGCTGCTGCTGCAGATTTCAGACATAATTGCTGCGGGGCCCCGGGGCCGGAGGCGCAGGGGGCCCCCCGGGGACCCCCCTGGGGGCCCCCCTGGGGGCCCCGGGGGGCCCCCGGGGGCCCCCAAAGACAGCGACAGCGAAGCGTCGGAAAGCGAAGATGAAAAGAAGTGGATGGAAGAAGAAGAAGCAGCAGCAGCAGCAACTTGGATAAAAGGCCTTGCTGCTGCGAAGGCGGTGGAGCCGGGCAGCCACAGGCTGGTGTTTCAAAACGCGTGGCTGCTGCTGCTGCTGCAGGTGCAGCACAGCAAGGCGCTGCTGCAGCAGCTGCTGGCAGCAGTGCCGCGGCGGGTGCTGCCGCTGCTGTCCAATCCGCTGCTGCTGTCGGACTTTTTCTTAAAAGCTTTTGCAGAGTCCAGCCATTTGTCTTTGCGGATTTCAGCATTATCTGGATTGTTTTATTTGCTGACGAAGCACCGCCTGGGCAACCCCGAGCTGCTCTCTGCTGCTGCTGCTGCTGCTGCTGCTGCAGACCAGGAAGCAGCAGCAGGGGCCCACTTGTACCAGCAGCTCTACAGGCTGCTCACTCCTGCTGCTCTTTCCCCCAGACTGCGGGGCCGCTTTCTGCGGCTGCTGAACTTGGCCTTGAGAAGTGATTTGCTGCCAGCTTGTTTGGTTGCTGCTTTCATCAAAAAGTGCTGCAGAGTTGCATGCGTTGCTGCTCCTGCTGCAGCACTTTGTCTCCAGGCTTTTGCTGCTTCTCTCCTCCAAAAGTACAGCACCATTTGCAAGCCTTTGCTGCTGCTGCCGCCCCACGTTGCTGCCAGCCTGCGGGTCTCTGGGGACAGCTTCGACTACAGCAAATGCGAAGTCCGCAGGGCCCGGGGGGCCCCCAGGGGACCCTCTGGCGTCGTCGGAGGACGAGGAAGAGGCCCCGGGGGAGGCAGGAGATGAGAAAAGTGCCTTGTGCAAGTTGGTGAAGAATTGTTTACCGAAAAGTCTGGAAATTAGAAAAGAAGAAGTGCTGCCTCTGGCGCGGAGACAGGCGAAAATGTCTTTGTGGGAAGTGGAGCTTCTGAACAAGCACGCTGTGGTGTCTGTACAGCAGATGGGCAGCCTCTTCCTGACGGATTTCACAAATCCCGCCGCCAGAAAAGTTCAATTAGAAGACTTTTTGGACATCACCACCGGCTCTTTGCTTTCTCGCGAGTTGAAAGCCATTAATAAGCCTTCAAGTGAAATAACTTTGGCGAACTTCGCGGGAAATCCAACGAAAGTTCCAATTCCAGTCGATGTGCCCAACTTGCATGCAGCCAGCATGAACATTGCAAAGCTCTGCAGCTGCTGACGCTGGAGGTTGTTTTTTTTAATTTAAATACTTTTTCAAATTGTTAAATAGTTAGTGCTGCTTCTTTTCCATCTGCTGCTGCCCGGGCGACTGCTGGCTGCGAGTCAGGGGCTTTCAAATTCGAATTTCAAAAATAGGTCTTTTGCAATTTCGCGAGTTCGCATGGTGAATAATTTGTTTATTTCACTTGCACAAACATTTCCCAAAGCATTCCTGTCTTTTTTCAGGACGGATCGCGACATGCGCGAAAAGTGAACACCTAGTGCAATTGCGCAGGTGTACGTACACCTCGGCGTGCAGGGCGCGCGGCGCCGCAGTTTCGCCGCCTTTGGCTCATTTTTTGAATTCTCTTGTTTTTAATTCCATTACATTCTTGCTTTCATGTAGTTTACCGCAAACTCGTCCGTTATTTTGAGTCCTTCCTGCAATGTTCGCTTCCCGAAACGCGTAGACAGCGGAGACCAAGTCCACTTGGGCACGAACTTCATGGGGTCGCTTTCCCCCTTGACGAGTCCCACGCAGGGCCTCAAGAACAGCCGCAGCTCCTCAGGCGGTGCTGCTGCTGTTGCTGCAGCAGCAGCAGCAGCAGCAGGCTTTGTACGCTCTGCGGCCAGGCAGCGGGCCCTCGGGCTCTCGAGGTATTCCTTCTGAAGGGGGAAAATGTCTGCGCCAGTCAGCGACAAACTCCAGTATCCGTCGTAGACGAAGATGCGTCCCGTGGCAGTTTCGTCTTCTGCTGCTGCTGCTGCTGCTGCGTCCCACTGCCACAGCTGATTCAAATTGGCCCGCCGGATCACTCCATTCCAGTCGCAGCGAAACAAAATCGGCACTTGGTCTCCAAAAGTCGCGGAGTCCAGACACTTCCGAGTGCCTCTGTTCTGCAGCATGCGGTTTCCGCTCACCACCTGCCAGTGCTGCAGTGTACGTACACCGCAGCGCGCGCAGCCGCAGTGTACGTACACCGCAGCGCAGCTTTCCAGAGCCCGTTTCGGGGCCCAGCTGCTACAGCTTTGCGAGAGTTAGCTTAGTTGTTTATTTTAAGTTTCTTTATGTCGAAAGTTTGGCTAAAAAGGACTATTTAGAGTTTAATTCCCTTTTCAACTGACGCACTTGGTCCTGGTCCGCCACATTGCAGACAGCCAGTTTGACTTTGTCGTGGCCCTTCGGGTTTCTGTCTGCAGCCACGCAAAGCCCTGCAGCAGCCAGCAGAGCCAAAGAAGCAAAAGAAAGAAAGTGAAGCGACGGAGGCTTGGCAGCCGAGCTGCAGGCTGCGGGGTGCACGTACACCGCAGGGCTGCGGGGTGTACGTACACCGCAGAGCTGCGGGTGTACGTACACCGCAGCTGGCTCGGCAGCTAACTGGGCTCTGCTGGCGCCGTTTTGCATGCATTTTTTTCGTTCTTTTCCCCACTAGTTTGCTGCTGAGGCCGCACCTGAAGCTGCATGCTGGATGTGCTTGAAGTCGTGGTCCAGCAGCAGCTTTCGCTCGAAAGCTGGCCGGAACTTGTCCACAAACCACTGAAAAGAAACGCAGTTGAGTTTGTTGTAGCGCAGCTCCAGCCGCCCCCGCAAGTCCCCCTCTGCGTGCTGCCGCGCCTCCGGGTGGTACAAATAAAACAAAGCGTAGTATTCGTCCAGCCAAACTTTGGCGGCTCTTTTCTGGTTCTTCTGCACCTGCAGCAGCAAGTAGCAGCACAGCAGCAGCGACAGGCAGCACGCAACAGCAAATAGAAGCAGAAGGCATTTAACGTCGTCAAAGAAGCAGACTCGGCGCATTTTGTGCAGCTGAATGGCTAGCTGGTGGCTAGCTAGTGGCTAGCTGGTGGCTAGCTGGGGCTTCCTGCCCACGCAACTGCTGCCCCGAGACCTAGCTAGCTGGCGCGAACTACGCAGCTAGCAGCTGGCTAGCCAGCTAGCCAGCGGGCCAGCTAACCAGCCAGCCAGCTAGCTAGCTAGCTAGCCAGCTACCCAGCCAGCGAGCTAGCTAGCTAGCTAGCTAGCTAGCCGGGGGTTGCTGCACCTGAATGACGAGTTTGTTCTCGGGGTTTGGTTTGGGGGGTCTGGAGAAAATGTGTCCAATTTGAGATCTTCTGTCGACAATTATTTCGCCCCCGCAGAGCCACAGACGCATGGACTGCTCCAGGTTTTCCCCGCCCCACTCCAGCATCCCGGAGTCGTATTTTCCTGCGAAATGCGACTAAGACAAAAAAGAAGTGGAGTTTTGGAAGCCGGAGGAGATAACAGACAGAGAGGGGAAATGCAAGAACTAAGAAGAAAAAGAAAGGAAAAAAAGAAGAAAAAACGAAAGAAAACGAAAAAAAACGAGAGAAGCAGCTGCTGCAGCGCCCGCAGCAGCAGCAGCAGCGCAGCAGCAGCAGCAGCAGCGGCAGCAGCAGCGGACCTGACTCCTCCCACCACTCCTTGGTCATTGCGAGTATTCCCCCGGACATGAGGGGGATTTCTTCTTCGAGATCTTCAAACCAACTAAATTCAAAAGTCCATTCAAACATCATTTTTGAGCCGTGGGTCCCCACGTCTTCCCAGTTGTGCTCCTTCACGTCCTGTACGTACACCCCAAACTGCCCACGCCAAAACGTGACACCAACTGCTGCTGCTGCTGCTGCTGTTACTGCTGCTGCTGTTGCTGTTACTGCTGCTGCTGTTGCTGCTGCTGCTATTACTGCCGCTGCTGCTACTGTTGGTGCTGTTACTGCTGCTGCTAGTGCTACTGCTGCTGCTGCTACTGCTATTGCTGCTGCTGCTTCTACTGCTGCTGCTGCTATTGCTGCTGCTGCTGCTGGAGCTGGGCGCACGTAAATGACGGGGCATGCGACTCTGCGGTAGTTGGTTTTCAAGTGCTGCAGCAAAGGATACTCCCAGCCCTTCTGGGGTTTGCAGTGGGCGTCGAGGAAGAAAAGATTGTCACTTAAGGCGGAGTCCGCCCCGGTGATGCGGCCGCGAATTAGGCCCTGGGGTTCATCTGCAAAAGAGAAAAGAAGTGCAGAAGTTCAATTAAATAAATTGCTCTTCTTGAAGGGAAATTCAAAGGAGATAAGTGCAAGAACTTCCCCAAGTTGTTGCTTCATTGGCCTTCATTGTTTCTCTCTAAAGTCAAATTTATTCGACAGTTTTTTTAAAGTTGAAAACTCTTCAGTCAATTTGGCAAAGACTAGTTCTGCTGCGCCCCAGCTAGCTGGAGCACCTTCAGGCGGCATGCAGTGATCCTAATTTCATGTATTTACACGGGATATAAATAAATAAATAAATAAATAAATAATGAATAGACAAAAAATGTACACATACATATGTGCATAAGTAACTGGCTTTCTTTGCCTGTGTGCGTCACTGAGTACGCCAGCTAATTTCAGGTGTACGTACAGCGCAGCACTAGTGAAGCTGACTGCCGCGTTTTTTGCGTTTGGCATTTCTCACCAAATCTGATCACTTTAACTTTGTCTGAAATGCTGGAGGGCAGGTGGGCCTCTGCCAAAACTTCTTTAACATGTTTGCCACTCGCGTCATCCACAATAATCACCTCGCGAATGGCTTTGTAGTCTGTGTTCTTGAAGAGAAACTCCAAAGTCTTGACCAGATATTTCTGAAAAACGGAAAAAGAAGAAATGCAAAACTAATTAATAAATGGATATTCGATGAAAGGTTGGAAAAAATAAAAAAGAATAAAATGAATTCAAAGATCGCAGCAAATCGCAGCTTGCCAACACACGAGACAACAAAAGTGTAAGCACCCCCGACTGCTACACAGGAGTCAAGGCAGAAACGAAAACTCTAAACCCTAAACCCTAAACCCTAAGCCCGAGTGCTGGGGAAACGCTGCGTCCGTCAAAATGTTGAACTAGTGGGTTTGCTTGCCTCTTCGTTTCTCGCGCTGATGATAATTGAGAAGTCGTTGCTGGTTTCCTTCGGCGTTCTGTCGAGCCACACATCTTGCGTCAGCCGCCGCATCAGCAAATCCATATTTCTGGTGAAGGGCGCTCGAACGGGCCCTGCAGCAGATCGGAGTGTGGAGTTTGAGGTGTACAGACACTGGAAGGCGGGCAGCGCGGAAAGATGAATTCGCGAGGGAAAGCTGCGGGAAAGCGGCGGTAACTGGGCCTCAAAAGTTGAATTGAAGGGTTTTTTGACTATTAAACTCGTTTCAATTCATTTAAATCACCGTAAGGGCCCAAAATGACGGCGTGTTGGTCGAAAAGATCTGCACTTGGCACCAGCGGCAGCGCAACTCCGGAAACGGCATTTTGCATGAACTTGGCGAGAGCCGCGCGATCTGCACTTTTCTGAGTGCCCCCAATGGCTGGAAGAAGTCCAAAAAAGCCAATTAGGGCCAGCGCGTTGTAAATGCACACACTCAACAAGAACAGCAAAGCCCATACAACTGCTCGCCTGCGCAGCTTCTGCAGCAGCGCAGCGTGGGACAGCTTCCGAGTCCGCCGGAAACTCTCCTCCTCGGGGAAGGCGGCTCTCCCTGGGGCCATTTTGGGAGAGGCGCGGGGAATAGGGGTTGTGCTGCCGCGCTGCAGCGGAAGAACAGCAGCAGCTGCAGCAGCAGCAGCAGCAGCAGCGGTGGCGGCGACACGACTCAGGTCTCGCGGCTACACGGCGCGTCGAGCAGCAAACAGCTGCAGATGCTCATCTGCAGCAACAAACTTGAGCGGGAGCTGCTGCTGGGAAGCAGCAAATGCGAAGTGGAAATGCTACAGGCTCATTGTCGGCCACAGCGCCCAGTGAGGAATTTGGGGGGCGGAAGCTGCGGGAAAGCGAAGGCAATTGGAGTGTCTTTTGCCTCAATGAAAAGAAAAAAGAAATTAATTTTCGAAATTTCAGTTTCGAAAAGAATAGACACGGACGCAGCAGCAGTTGCGTCTTGAACGAAAACGAAGTCACTGGCTCGTTCCAGGCGGCTGCCTAGCGGCGGCGCAGTTGAGCCCGATCTGGCAATAGGGGGAGTGGAAAGGGGGAGGAAACACTAAACTTAAACTTAAATTGAAACAAATAATACTTTGTAGCTATTTAATGGTCTAACAAACTCTATTTATTCGCAAGTTCGCCCCTGCAAGACCCTGGCATATGGGAGCTACCGGGATGATCGCTGCTGCAGCTGCAAACGAGCAAAAAAAACGCGAAAACGACAAATTTTATTCCAAAATGTTCAAAATTTGTTGAAATGATTAAACTATTTTGGAAATTGAAAAGGATCCTAGGCGAAAGAGGCGAGTCGTGCCGTTCTGTCTCGGCTCACCCATGCGCTGTTCAGCCCCGTACAGGGTGGGACTCCAGGCCACCCTTGTCGAACATACCTTCTCGGCCTTTTGGCTATGATCAAGTGTAGTATCTGTTCTTATCAGTGTGACAACTGATATGGATCCAACTGGATCCAACAATGTCACATCAATTTTTGTTTGGGGGAGTTGTGGTTTAGAGCTTGCTCGGACCCTCTCCATGCGTCGCCTCATCCTTACACTGTCGGTGTGAGTGGCGCACCCTTCAACCCTTCGGGGTTAACAATGGCATTTCTTGTTCTCATTGTTTTGGTTGTCACCTACTTACTTGTGGTGGTGATTGTGTAGAAGGATTTCAGCTGGTTGGAAGGAAGGTATTCCAAAGTCTCCCTCGGTTTACACCATAATGAGCTGCTATGAGCTGGAGGTGCAGTCGGGGTTCTGATGCAATTGGGTAGCAGTGATGCTGCTGCTGCTGGTTTTGGGCAGGCCGTTCAGAGGAGAGGGTAATGGAACTAAGGGGAGGTTCTCTAGTGTATGTATGGGGTAGAGTTATTGCGTGTATTGGAGGAGTCTGAGTGCACCGTTGTTGCGGAAATATCACTTAAAAATTGGAGATGGTTTCAGTTTTCGATGGCTTCTGTTTTCAGTATTTTTGTTTCAGTTTTCAGTATTTCGTGTGGGGGCCAGATGCGCAGCCAGGAGCATCTTTGTCTTCGCTTCCGCAGCATTCCCTGCGAAGAAACGTAATTGCAAAAGTTATTAGTTATTATTGTCTGTAGAGGATGAGTGAGAGACTGAGTTGCCCTCCAAGGTGTTTTGCTACTATGAAGTTTCACAGATGGTGCAGAGAACAGCCGTGGAGAGGCACAGGAGTTCACATTCTTCATTTGTCCATTTGTGGACTCTTCCCGCATCTTGAGCAATTCGCGCTTCAGTGCCTATTTCTGAACACGAAATTCAAAAAGTTGTACTGAGTTCTTAATAAATTGGACTAATTTCCCCCGCTGGACTCACCAGCACTTGCCGTGCCAGCCCTTATGCGAAGCGTTCAAGTCGACGGCTGCGTAGTATTTGTCGCCTTCTGGGTGGTAGCGGCAGACGAAAGTCTTCGGGTGAAACACGCATTTGTCGCTTTCGTCTTTTTCGTCGAAGTACGAGTGGCACCTGCTGCACAGGTTCTTTGATGCTGCGGGGCTGGACATTTTGAACTGCGAAGTTGACTCGCCTCCTTATTTAGGATTCTATTCCTCACTTAATTATTAAGTTTTTATCGGGAGAAGCAGCCTATATGCTTGCTGCTTTCCACTTCAGTGCAAAGGTGCTTGTGCTGCACGCACTTGCAAACACACAGAGCCCCCAGCGCTTAATGACGAAAGGGCAAAGCTAGACAATTACGTATGACGCGACAAGCAATAGTTTGAACAAAAGATGAAGGGAAAGTGAAGCCAAGTAAACCGTAAACCCTAAACTATGGGTCCACGTATGACTGACCAGTACCGGCAGCAGCAACGAAGCGGTCACCCTCCAGGGAGAGCGGGCGGATCAGCGCGAAAGGATAGGCTTTCTTCCTCAACAATGTAAATGTAAAAACGAGAAAATGTGAATTTCAGAAAGAAGTGGAGTAAAAATGGGGAAAACGCCACGGCGGCCGCGCAGCAGCAGCCACACACACTTGACCGCCTCGCAGTTCTCCGTTTTTTCGTTTTTTAATTGAATCACTTCAATTTATCCCAAAATTTATTTCGTAACTACCAATTACTTCTGTTCTATTGCAAGTGAATAACAAGACGAGCAGTTGGGGCCCCTTGCTGTCGCTGTAATGGGGCCCCAACAGCAAAACAGCAGAAAAACAGAACCACAGGAATCGGACCTGCACTTGCCCCATTAACTGTGCTGTACTTATTTTATTTTTATTGTAAATATAGGGACTTGGCAAAAAATTAGCAGAGCAACCCCAGGAAGCGGGTTCCCTCGGACCTGATCATCACATGCACATGCAGGTGGCGAAGAGAACGCCATCCGCTGGCGACAAATCTACTATCCCAAATCACCAAATTAGACCTATCTCTTTTCTTTCAATGGATGAAAAGTACCTCTAAGATCTAGAAAATGCAGAGTTTAACATTGTACTGCCCACCCGGGTGACCCGCACTTGCGTCAAGGAGTTCATGGAGGCACGGGGAACGCATCAGCAGACCAGAGATGTGAATCACCGTGCCCCAACAGCTATTTATTTTGGGCCGTTAAAGTGTCTGCGAACAAGTCAAGTAACGAGAAACGCGATTGATTGTCTAAAGTTACAGAGGCACCCATCCCTCACATTCGTGTCCCAGTTTGCGCGTTTGTCTGGAAAGGATAAATCCGTGAAAAAGAATCACGAGAGGCAGAACTTCGTAGTGCGCCATAGGTAGAGGGAAATGGCATTCCACGAAAGATCTGACTGCAGATGGAAACAGTGACTCTCTGCTGACTGACGTCACCAATTGAAGTAACTCAATTGTTTTTCAGTTACACTGAACAACTTATTGTCAATTGATTGACTTGAACTGCTTTTCAAGCTCTGCTAGCTCCTCTTTGAGCTTCTGCTCGTTGCTGACTTTGACCCGCTGCATTTCATTCAAGTCGCTTCTCCCCTGAAAGCAGAAATAAGTCCAGGGAACTTCAGCAATCCAGGGAATCGATGTTGAAATTGCCACTACAGTAAAAATCAGCTTTAATGTTACTTAAATTAATAGTAATGACTGAGTTTTTACCTTAAGGCGCTCAATTTCTGTCAACTTCTTCTTCACTGCTCGAATCGCCTTCCGCAGGTCATTCGCCTGAGCGTAAAAACAATCCTGATATTCTGTGCATAATGCGCTTTTGAGCAACTAGATGTCTAATTAAATGCACTTTACTCATTACTTTTATCCGTCAAGACAAAATCATGTGCGGCTTAAGCTTTTTTGCACAATCAAACTGTTATTGTTTACTGCGTCTTCGCCTTGTGGGCTTCCATTGGTGTCTGAAGTCGCGTTCGCTGCAGGTGTTGTTTGTTTTGCATTTTGTTCTTTGTCAGTTTCTGTCTTTTTATCTTTTTTGGCTGCGTCGCTGCCCTTTTCTTCCGCGCTGTTGTCCTGGCCAGCCTCAGTTACAGCCTCTGCCTGGGCCGCTCCTTCCTGCTTGTTTTTCCGGTTCTGCCTCTTTCTTGCACTCTTCGAAGGAGAATTTGAAGCAGCAGGAGCCTCAGCAGCCCCTGGCGGCAGACGCGGTGTGGCGTTGCGCGCGGCTGGCGGCTTATAAGCGCCAACCGACGGCACACCCTGACAAACAAATCAAGGAAGATGCAGACAAAAAAAAACAGATTAGCTAGGAAATTGTACCCCTGCGCCTAATTTAAACGTCTGCTTGATCTACGGGAGTAACCAGACCAGAGTTCCTGTTCATTTTCAACACGGCTCCTATCAGCTAGCCACGCTACTAGCATGCTGCCGAATGGAAGCGATGAAAATACTATGATTATGACCCGTTTCCATACAAAATGACAGCAGAATCAAAGCAAAAACGAAAGAAATATCAACAATAGCAGCAGCAGAAGCAGCAGCACAAAGCATAAACATGACCAACGGAAGCTGCAGCAGCACTGCCACATACAGCGTTCAGCCAGAGCAGCAGCAGCAGCGACTCACTGATCTGCTTTGAGTAAGAGAACTAAGGGACCTTCCGGTTGAGGTCAGGTTGCCTATTTTTGTGGCTCCCTCTGCGCCTGGAGCCAGGGGGGCCTCCCCAGGTTGGTAGACTTTGAGAGAGTCAATTATTGCCTTTTGTGCTTCAGCAGCAGTAGCAGCAGCAGCAGGGCTCAAGGGACGGAACTGCACGCTGTACAGGCACGCGAATTCAACTCGCTTGAGAAGGGCGCCTGACAGACTGAAGAACTGAAATAAAAGACAAATGCCGCATAACGAAAATTAACTAAGTTTGACACCACTTGAATAGAAATGAAATATAGACTGGACACAGGACAAAGCACCAGGCGTTGGCGGCACAGCTGAAACAGCTACACCTGAAATGTCATGCCTATCGGCAAAGAAAAACGCGATATCTGGCGAATTTGAAGGCTAACTAAAAATTCTGAAAAGCGAGTCAATAAATGAGCGGAACAGCCTTTGAAATGAGGCCCAAAACTCACATTTATTCTGTTGTCAACACGCAGGCGCGGCGATATATTTGCTGTGATGAAAAAGCAACCGCAAGATGCCCACTGACAAGTGGCTGACGGGGACTAAAAAGAAAAAAAACAGACACGAGCACAACTTAGGAACAGATGATTGCTAGCATGTTGACTAAAGCTTCAGTTCAGCACGGCATCCAATCTGTAATGGTTGCATATATTCGAAGAGGCCAGCATCTTTATATCATATTTATTTAGTCGAGCACAATGCATATTTATATGGAAAAGCGCAGACTCAGGAACTACGTGGCATCAATCTTCGCGCTAAAGAAATACAGAACACTTGGCCTTCAATCAACTGCTTTACTTTCCACACTAGCTGTCCTTATCCCAACACTTCCTTTCGTTGGCATGTTGCAAAATACCTAGTTCCTCCCTCAATATATTCCTCCTCTATCTCCCCTTAATATTGCACAATGTCACTTTACAAATCTCCCAACTATATCTTCACTACGTCTCACAAGCACGCCATCTCCCTTTCCATATCACTTAAATGTACTACTAAATGTACCAATTGACGCCTTTTTTCCTGCTATCTGCAATTTTTGAGCGAATTCCCCGTATTTGCCTCTTCTGGGCAAATATGCACTTCCCGCAGTGTCCTTTACCCCCATGTTTTCAGCCGATTTCGGGTCTACGTCCACACTTCTTGCGCTCGAAAGACACAAGCTGGACTCTTCTAAAAATGAAGCAGAGAGATGCAAAAACCCTTTACACGAGATTCAGAAACAGAGAGGTTGTCAAAGCCCACGCAGCCGAAACCCCCGTATCTCTTACCACTGTCTTCCCTACTATGCCCTTCTTTCTGAGAGACCAGACCTCAACCTCCCCCGCCAAATTGCCAAATCCGCCCCACAGCATCAATTTGGCAAAGGGGCAAAACAGAAGAGAAGTGCGCATGCCTTCGCCCATGCGGAATTTCGGCGAGGTCACTTTGCTGTTGCCATCGTAGACGGCGACCTGCAGCAGAAAATTGATGCAAGTGCCATTTGTATATTTACTTCTATCTAAACTAATCTGGGTGAAACTGACGGGAATGGGAAACTGTTGGGGGTTCAAAGGAGGCCGTTAACTGTGCAGAAGCAAAAAGAACATCGATTAATATTAAGCTGCGGGCTGAGACAAGTGTAAAACAACACATACGTATGGATATGCGTATAAATAAATCGGTTTTATAAACATGCCGATTCATGATACTGACCAATTTTTCGCATTGAATGGCACACAGAAACACGAATGACTCGTAAAAGCCGACACGCAAAACAGGCCACCGGAACAAACATCCAATAAAGTAAACCAAGAAGCCTAAGTGAATCGAAAGGGCAGAAGCGAAGAAGCAAAACGAACAAATAGAACAAACAGACAAAAGTAATGGAACTAAACACAAGACACTTACCGTGGCTGGCACTTTGCTGTAGCAAACAGCAAACTCAATTGTGGAAGGGCTCCACACGGCGGCGTGGACAGGACCCTCATCAGCGGCGACAATGCGCATATCGTATCCTCCCTGACACTGCAAAGAGGGCACGAGAAACAAAGTGAAAGAGATAACTTCAATGAAAGGAATGATAAAGAAGGTCAGCTGGCTGTCGTTGCTGCCTACACACAAAAGCACCAATGAGGGGAAGACAATAATAGGAACAACGAATGGCACACACACAGAGATTGAAAAACAAAGGAGGAATGAAAGGATATGTACAGAGATTGAGAAACAAGGGAGGAATGAATGGATATGTGCTTGAAACAAGAGCAGGAAAAGCAAATGAAGGGAAGAGCCCCTTGCCTTCCCTGCTCGAGCTGTAACCAGAAAGAGCAAAGAAGCAGCCAGGTGTGAATACCAAACTGCCCTAACTATGTCTGTTATTTTCTGTGTCTGCCAATTCTTCCTACACTGGAGTTCATCACTCGACTAGCAGCTCACCCGCAGGAAGTAAAGAGCACTAGACCCGTAGTAAGTCAAGTCGCTGGCGTCTGTGTGCGTCTTCAGCAGCAGCGCGCGGCCGTCGTAGGCCCAGTGGCACTCTGCCTCTTGCGACTGGAAAAATGATTTCTTGGCGACGCATTTCACTTCTTGCCCGAGCTCGTACACCTCCAACAGGGCGCTCTCCCCCTTGGTTTCCTTCGAAAACACAGCGCAGTACGCGCTGCTGTTGCCGCTGCTGCTGCTGCTGTTGCTGCTGTTTTCGTCTTTAGCAGCAGAAGGGGGGCGCTCTGGGCTGGCAAATACGGCGGAGGCGCGCGGGGAACTGATGCGGTGGAGAGGCGAGTTGATGCTGAAGCTGCCAGACTCGAGCTGCTCGCGGCTGAAAATGTGAACAGCGCCTTTGACCTGAAAAGACAAAAAGAAGGAAAACAAAAGGAGAATAATGATATTTTAGCCTTTCAAAACTTATTGAGTGCCCCCACACGTCTTCAGACCACGCCGGGAGGCTGAAGTTCGCATTCATAAGCATAACAACCCCACCCTCAGCAGCAGGCGCTGAACTTGTCTAAAGTTACGTTTGCAAATGCCGTTTTCGGTTTTCATGACAGATTGCAGTAGCAAATACATTCAGAAACGCATTAATACATGAGCAGGCATTAAAAGACGAAACAAAAGTCCTTGAAAAGATGCAAAAAAGGCGGAAACTCAACAGAAAAACCCCAAAATATCTTGCTTACCAAACGGCATGCAAAGCTTTCGCCCCCAGTGAACCGCAGCGGCGGCCACGAGAGCTCGCCGACGCCTCGCTGGGCCAAACGCGTCACTTCTTTGGCGCTGTGAGTTTCTATAAGTCTCAGATTTTCTGGACACTGTGTCGGCTCGAAGCGGAAACAAATCAGCAAATACCGCCCAAGAGGGCTGAACGAAAACTTGGACACGGGAGTTGCTGCAGGCAGCGCGAAACGCACATTCAAGAAGTGGCGCACTGCAGCACAAAGCTGCTGCTTGCTGCGAAAGTGCAAACACTAGTCAAGCTGTCGGTGGTGCTGCTGCGCATGCGCAAACACTCATCAAGCTGCTGCTACTGCTGCTGCTCTGCAAGCGAAAGCACCAGCCTAGCTGCTGCTGCTGCTGCTGTGCAAGCAAAAAACTCATCAGGTTGATGCTGCTCCTGCTGCTGTGAAAGCAAAGCAATCATCAAGCTGCTGCTACTGCTGTGCAAGTGAAAACACCAATCAAGCTGCTGCCGCGCAAAAGAAGACAATAAACACAAGACGAAAGGCACTACAATCAGGCGGGAGAGAGGCCGCCTGGCAAGTGCAACAGAAGCACTCACGGCCCTCAACTGCGTAACGAACTTCCCAAGTGGTTGCATCCAAGATTTCAACTTTTTCGCGCGAAGAATTCCGCACAATGGCGGCCTGGAGTTGAGAAAGAAATCAGAAACCATGTGGATAGACAGCCCGGCGCTTCGGGGTACCGAGGCAATTAATAATCTAGATTTCATTTTTAGAGTTAAGTTTTGTTTGGAGGGGGCCCTACGTATGTGCCTGGCCTCCTCGCTTCTCGTGGTTCAATTCGAACTCACCAAATCACCTGGTGGGGACCACTCGGCGGACTCCACGCCTTCTATGCTTCTGAGTTTCTCTACTGTGAAGGCCCCTGCCTCGTCGAGGGCCGCGTTGTGCAGCTCGAGGCCTTCGCGGGTGAGTGCGATGAATTCAGATTGCATTTTCCTCTGCCACTCTGAAGACTCGCGCGCGCACGCTGCGTTCAACTTCAGTTCAAGTTCAAGACGCCGCCCGCTGCTCTTTCCGCCTCACAGCTACAGCCTTTTCCCCTTCCCTGAGAGACTCGAGACGGAATAGGGAGTGAAGCCTCACGGCAAGGGGTTGCCAGCTGCTTCCTTCCCCAAGGTCGAGTTTCCGTTCGCGCTTGGCTCCCTGCTGAGGCTGTTAATAGAATTAACAACTTAAAACAGCTGCAGCAAGAAGCAAAGCGATGAGAAAATCAGGCTGATAGATACTCAGGCACAGAACATTGCCCAATTCCCATACTTGTTGGTTTGCATGCGGGGCCGCTGCCGCCGAACTGTCTGCAGCTGCCTTGCAAGTGACCTTAGCGGCATGCCATTGTTTGAACTTTGAAAAGTAAAATTAAATGTTATGTTGATGAGTTACTTCCAAAAGTCGTAGATCCGGAGGCAACTTCAACACGTGTGGGGTCCCCAGCTGCGAAATCGCCTGCTGTCTGTGTGTCTTGCTACTGCATTGCGTGTCGGACTTCCACTCGCCAAGCCATTTAGTCGAAGTCGCATGCATCGCCGCGAAATTTGATTTTTTCTTTTCAAAAATGGACCACGAGGGGCTGCTGCTGGCGCTTGCTCGGGGCCACGATGGCATTGGCCCCCTGCTAGACACTTTCTTCTCCTTCCTCGCCAGCCGCACCGACTTTTTCCACATCTTAGAGCCTGGGGGCCCCTCCATGGGCTTTGCGCCTGCAGCAGCAGAGGCCATGGTGGCGGAATCCTTTGGTGTTGCCCAGCTTTCCTACATGGCGGCCAAGCAGCCCCACTTGCTGCCTCCGAAGCTGCGGAACAAGAGCATGAAGGACTTCAGGGCAGTCACCAGAGATTTCAACTTCAAGCTTAAACACAAACAAATGCAGTTCGCCAGCCCAGTCTGCAGACTTGCGGTGCTCGCGGAGCCCCCGAGCCTCCAGTTCTCAGAGGAGCTCGGGACTCCGACCCCTACGGCGAAGTCAACACCCTCAGCACCAGCAAAGCTAGCAGCGGCAGCAAAGACAGCAGCAGAAGCAGCAAAGACTCCAGCAGCGCCTGTCTCTCCACGGAGAGCGCCAAAGGAAGCAGAAGCTGCTCCGGAGCCGCCCCCGAGAGAGGCCCGGAAGTCGACAAAGGGAAATGAAATGGAAACAGACGCTCCTGCTGCTGCTGCTGCTGCTGCGTCGCACCCAGGCAATTCAGGTAAAGCGCCAGCCGGCGTAGCACAGAGTTCTGCAGGTCATAAAAGCAAGCCTTCAGAGCAAAACAGCAGCAGCAGCAGCAGCAACAGCAGCAAAGCTTCAGCTGTAGGATCACAGAAGACAGCATTTATAAACCCGTGGAACGGAGCCATCCTCGACCGATATGTTTGGTCCCAAAGTATAAATGAAGTCACATGCCAGATTCGCTTGCTTGAGCTGCTGCAGCAGCAGCAGCAGCAACAACAGCAGCAGCAAGATATAACTGAGGTCAACGCCAAGTTACTATCTGTCTCACTGCGGGATGACTCTATCCGAGTGACCTATGAGGGTATGTTTCTTATTCTGAATATTTCTCCCGCAATTTAATGCTGCAGGCATGTGAGGATATCAATTTGTAGCTTGTCAGCTGCTGCAGATACAACTCAGCTTAATCAAGTCTGTGAATTTGAATTTTCCCCCAGTTCGTCTTTCGGCTCTTAAGAAAGCATCAGCCTTAGCAAAATTCACTTCGAAGCCTGGAAAAGCGTTTGTTATTATTTTGCTCTTCTCATCCTTTACTTATTTTCTCAAGTAAGCTGGCATGTTCTTCCAGGCCGAAGTGTCTTTGAAGGCAAGTTTAGCCACCCTATTCAATCTTCTGAGAGCTTCTGGGTGTTAGAGCAAAAGGCGTTTTTGCTGCTGACTCTGGACAAAAAGAAAGAGCTCTGGTGGGAATCTGTGATCGAAGGAGACCCGAAAATAGACACTACGAAAGTAAGAAACGAGCACAGTTTCTGGGTTTTGGGCCTTCGTTTCGGAGTCTAGGGTTTGAGGGGCCAGGCCTAGGGTTTACAGATTGTTTTCTCCAGCGTTGGGGTTAAATTCCGGGCCTTTGTGTCTTAGCTGAAAGAGCAGCACGGTCCAGTGACATAAGACAAACGGCAGCCGAGGCTGTCTGCTCTTAGCTGATCTGTATCCCTATTCGAATTTCTGTCTTTTGCTGCTTGTGTTGACTCTTACCCATATCTGTGGTCATAATTGTACTTGTCCATATTTATTGCATTCACGTGTGTCTGTATGCAACTGTTTTCGCTCATTCTATTTCCGTCTTCTGCTGGCTGTACTGGCCTTCACCCATATCTATGACCATTATCGCTTTTGTTTATATCTATTGCTTTCGTTTATGACTATTGCAACATTTCTTCGATGCTTTTGCTTCTAGGTAGAGTCCGTGAAAAGGGTGGAAGATTTCGACGAAGCGACTCAAGGCCACATCCGCAAGATCGTCTTTGAGCAGAGACTGAAAATGCAAGGTATCCAGTGTGAACTGAATCAATTTAATTTGCAATTTGTGTCATGCTAAAAAGACACAGCAGCAAAAAGCAAGCATATACACAGGACAGCCAGTTGCATGCTAAGCATTCTCATGCCATTGCTGCCTCATGGTGCCAGCTTTTAATGTTCAATATTTGCGGTTTCAGGCTTGAAAACCCCTGAAGAAATTGAACAAGAAAAAATTCTTCGAGATGCTTGGGACGCCGAGGGCTCTCCATTTAAGGGCTTGCCTTTTGACCCTTCCGTTCTAAATTCTCAATCTCAGCTTCCTCCAGGTGTTCAGCCGCCTCCGGGGGGTACCTGTTGAAGTTGCCGTTGCAGCAAAGCTGGTGCAGCATTAGTTGGCGCAGCATTGCTGCAGCATTAGTTGGTGCAGCATTAGTTGGCGCAGCAATTGCTGCAGCGGTTGGTGCAGCAGTTGCAGAAGCCGCAGGCTGCGCTGAACGCACAGGGTGTTGACAACGAAGTTTGACGAGCAGTCTGCTGCTGCTGCAGGCGCTGCTGTTGCCTCTGCTGCAGCAGCCGCCTTTGTCGCTGCTTGTGCTGCTGCTGCTTCTGTTGCATCTGTCCCTGCAGTTGCTGTCTTTGTGGTCCCCCCTTGTTCCTTGAGGGTATTGAGTTGTGTTTTGGGCTAGACGGTGACATCTGAGTGGAGATGAGCGATAGCCGGCACAGCGCAGGTACACAAACTTAGGCAGAAACAGCTAGGCAGAGATAGCCATGTGACAACGCATACAGCATCTGCATAAATATCGTTATAAAGTTGTTAGCGTGTATGCTTCTTGGCTGTTTCTCCTTTTTAATTCCGAAGCCTTTAGATAGGCTGGATATTACAGTTGAAGAGAAGTTGCAAAAGATGGATGGAGTTTAAGAAGAGAAAGATAATGAACGCAGCTTGGTTTGTTGTAAACTGCCGGATAATAGGATAGCCGGTCCGGCCCTGGCACGTAACACAGTGCAATTTAGTACGGTGCAGAATCGGGAAACAGCACACCATCTAATTAACCTGCAACTGTGCTTCAGAATATCGATTATGTGGCATCTAGCTACAAGCAGATGCATAACTCCGCTAGCAGCCCGCCCGTTGTTCAGGCGGGTGCTGGGGGCGCCCTGCAACTATTTGTTGCCTAAGCCTGCGCAAACCCAGCGCTGTTTTGGGCCCACTTCAGTGAAAAGTTTGGCTTTGGGACTCCATGGAAAGTCCCTGGAAGGAAGTCCCTGCTGGAGGCCATCTTCATATAGACACTTATTCAATTTCACTTTGGGTAAACAGTTCCAGCAACTGCTGCACTGTTGAATGCGTCCACTGGTCATCCCCCCAATTTCTCCACCAGCTACTCACATCCTGCTTACACTATGCATTTAATTACGGTATAATCACCTAAAACAGTAAATCTAGTCCGCTGTCCGTGGGACCCCAGTATTCATATTCACACTTTGTCTTTGCTGCTTCCGCTCGCTGGTCATCAGGGATCGCCCCCAATGCTGGCTTTTGGGGCTGATTTCCGTTAATTTAAAAAGAAAAAGCCATCATATATGCACTATGGCAGCATTAGAGATATGCGAAGTGGCGTGGTGCCATCTTAGGGGGCAGTTGTAACGGAGAGAACTGCTGAACACATGCTGTACTGAGATTGGCGTTGCAGCCGTCCCCCCCATCACTGTCGTTGCCTATTTCATCTATTCACCCCCATATATATTACATATACTTTTCGAGAATCGCATTTACGAATTGGGGCTGTTGGTTGCATGCAAAACTGATTTGAGGACCTCAAAACAACGAAATTGCCGAAATCTGCTGCTGCTGTGCATATTCCAACTAGCCAGGCCACTGTGGGCCATGCGTGGTCTTGTGCTGACTGTTTGAATTTGTTTATTTATGTTATTAAAGGAAGGCGTTGGCTTGGGTGGTGTTACTGGCCAAAAAGAGAAGAAAGTAACTCGAATTTCTCGCGCCTCCGGCATCGATGGGCAGTGGGCGAGCTGAAGCTTTCGCCGTATACTGCCCCTCGCCTTGAACGCTTGTTTAATTCAGCTTTAGAAAATTGAATTAAAACGAAGATTTTATCTTATTTTTGCCTGTTTTGCACATTTTTTGGGAGTGCAGGCAAGTACCGCGTTTGAGCCTTAGCGCGCCGGTGGTCCGTGTGCAGTTGAATGGCTCGTATGCCATTGTTCCCAGCTCCTGGCTTTTTCAGTGTGAAAAGGGCAAAATCTACTTCTGTTTATCTTTTTGCATACATTTAAATGCGAAAAAGAAGTTTCTTTCATAGAGCTTTCCATCTCTCTGCAGATAATTCGCGACCTGAGCCGGCGGTTCCGGCAAAACAGGGAGCAAGATCTGCATCAATGAATAGGAAAGTCTGCTTCTCTGAAAATATTTGACTGCATTTGTATTCTAGCTTCTTTGCCCCTCCCAGTTGCTGGTAATTCCTCATTTGTGGGCGCTCTCCGTTCCCGTCCATGCGCTCCGGTTCGATTCACGGTCTTTTCTTCGTGTTTTCTTCGCATCTCTCCTTTCCAGATTGTTTCCTTGCTTCCTTTCTCTGCCAGTTCATTTAGTTTCTTTTTGTCTTTTTGGGTTCTTTAATCTCACATTCGCTCCCGGTTTCCCGTCTCACTCTGCTGATCCGCCGGTGTGACGATGAGTGACATTTCGGACTTTAGTGAGTCGGACTTCGACAAGCCTCCTCCTCCTCCTCCTCCTAAAGGGGGCCTGACCCGCGGTAAGACAGGGAAGGTCCCCTTCCCCCCAACGAAGAACGCAGCAGCAGCAGCAGCAGCAAAATTAGGCCCCTCTTCCTCTGTAGAAGGATTAGGTGCCGACCTGAAGAAGGGGGATAATAAGGACGGAGCCAAAGACCTGAGGAAGGCCGGCAGCAACGTAGGTGGAGATAAGGACAAAGACAAGGGTGGGAAGACAGAGAATGAGGGAGAAAAGAAATCCTCAAGGCCCGTTGGGCGCCGTGCAGGCAGCGGTCCTCAGAGCCAGCCGTCTCTGGACAAAGCCACAGGCGTTTTGTCGCCGCCAGATTTCTTCATTTCTAAGATAGTTCATGACGGCCAGTGCTTTACTCCCCGCGTAGGGCACTGTGTGGTGGAAGCCAAGGGCTCGGTTTACCTATTTGGCGGAGAAAACGAAGAGAAGACATCGTCAGAAGATATGATTAGATTCGATCCCAACACCAATGAGTAAGCAATGAATAAAAAGCATCTGGAGAGTGTTCAAGAACTACCATTAGCTTAGATATATTAAGACAATTGTTGCAAGCTACGCAATGAATGCTTTCCAATTTGCAAGGCCGAAAGCACATACACAAACAAGTGAAGGAAAACGCAACCTGTTTTTTTTCCTGCTCTTCTGACTGTTTGTGGCCCTTTTCGCTGGCTTGACTCTCTTCGCATCTCCTTTTGCCTATGCTATTCTTCCCTTTCTCTCTCCCTCTTTATTTGTCTTCGCCTCGGTGTTTCCTTGCGCTTTTTTTTCAGCTTCGAATTAGTAGACACTAAGGGGTCTGGCCCTGGCCCCCGACGCGGCGCGAGCTTGACTCTGTGGCGGCAGAGTCCTACATCTGAGGCCTCTCTGTTACTATTTGGGGGGATAGATGAGTCTCAGGTCGCAGTGTCTGAGTCATGGATGTTTGATCTGGCTTCTAGACAGTGGAAAGAAATGGCTTTCAAGAATAAGCCAGAGGCCAGGCACTCGCACGCTTCAGTTTATCACCAACAGAAGGGGACCCTTCTCGTTTTTGGCGGACAAGGGGCGGAAGGAAATGTCCTTCAAGACGCGCATATTCTTGAAGGATGTAAGGTTTTGAACATCATCGCCTCAACTTATTTGTCATCACCTCGTTCAGTGAACATCTCCTCGTCGTCTTTTTACCTATAGCTGTTCATTTGCATTTATCTTGCTCCTGCATCCATTTGTGTTGTTTGAGACACTCATGCTTGTGAGTAGGCCTGAGCCTTTTTCGCTTCCCACGCATTTTGCCCTTTTCCTACTTATGTGCTATTCTTTCCTTTTTGTTTCATATTTGCGCGCTCGTTCAGTTGTTGTTATTTACCTTTTGGTGCATTTCCCGGTCTGGTTGTTTTCTTGCTTGCAATAACCTTGAAAGGCTTAGCAGAGGTTTATTATTCATTTGTCTCTTTCGTGCTGGCTTGGTAGGGACTTGTTCTTCAATTCTCGGTTGATGCCCCTTCCTCTGTTTCCCTGTCCTATAGGGTGTGCAGTTCATTTGAACCGCTTTGAATTATATTGTTCCTATCCATTTGTGTCTCTCCCATTTCCGTCTATCCGTTCACTTGCTTACCTTCTCTGCAGTAGAACCTTCGCCGTCTTTCCTTTGAATCACTCGGCTTAAACTTTAGCTCCGGAGCCCTAGACCTAGTGTTCACGTGTGTGGGCGTATGTGTGTTCAGCTTCCTGGCGCCCCCTCGAGAGTGCAACTGATACGCTTGCTCCTTGTGGCCGCTGTGGCCATTCTGCCTCTCTCTGTGAACTGTCTAACAAATTTGTCGTCGCCGTTTTTGGCGGGGATATTAGCGGCACAGGAAAGGGAGAGAACGATTTGTGGCTCTATGATATAGCCGACGACAGCTGGGATGTAATAGACGAATATGCGGGGGAGCCGCCCTGTCCTCGATGGAAGTAAGGACCTAAACACTAAACTAATTGCCCCAGACCTCGTAACAAGGATGGCGGGAGCTGGGCAGGGTAACAGCCAACGACAGGCTTTGAAATCCAGTGGCAGATCGTCCCGCATTCTTATGTTTATGAAGCCGCTGGGTCTGGCAGATTTAGAAGTCAGGAAAGGTTTTGGGCGTAGCTCTGGCATACAGAGTTTAGGGCTTTGTCCTGTTTCCCCTTGGCGCTGCAGACACGCAGCGGCTTTCTTTGACAACAGGCTTTGGATTATTGGAGGGACGTACGCAGGATGGTTTAGGAACTACATCATGTCTGGTAAGTGTTGGCCCTTAATTTCATATTCCAGCTGTGAATCACACCAAACTTCGAATTCCTAGCCCTTGGCTCGAATTTGAGTGCAGCTCGGCATGAGCCTTTTGGTCTGTTTCCGAATGTGTTTAAGGGTGAAGCTCGTAAAAATTAGGGTTTTAATTCGAATTTTAGGTTCTAGAATGCTGTGCGAAACCTTGTCGAAATAAACCACGCCACAGTGTGTTGAGGATTTGTCATGAGTCCTTCAGAATGTATATATTTCTGTATATATAGGTTTGACAGATACGTTGAGAAGTAAAGAACCATATACTAAGTAGTAGTAGTACTTGAGTTTTTACAAGAAGCAT